CGGCAGCTGAAGCTGCTGGCACACGGCGCAACTGGAGCAACTGGCACACGGGCAACTGGAGCAACTGGCACACGGGCTGCTGGAGTAACTGGCTCCGCGGCTAACTCTGAGCGGCAGGAGCAACGGACTCACGGGCGACTGGAGCAACTGGCTCACGGGCGACTGGCGCAACGGGCTCACGGGCGACTGGCGCAATGGTCTCACGGGCGTCTGGAGCTGCGGGCTTCACGGCGGCCACCCCCCTTCAACCTCCCCAAACTATCCCACCCCCCTTTCACACACCCCCTGCTGCACCCTAGGTTCACTCACACCCCACCCCATAGCACCACTCCGTCGACTCCCACACACCCACCCCCCTCAGCGGCAGCTGCAGCAGTGGGAGACAGAGGAGGAGGAGGAGCAGGGGAGACCACACACCCGCCACCCCCTACTCGCCACCCCCAAACCCTAACACAGGGCAGGGCGGGATGGCGGGTAGGGAGGTTACGGGGGGGGGGGGGGGGGGAAGGGGGGCCGACGCGCGGCCTCCAAGGGCGCCAAAGCAGGCGGCAGAAGGAGCGACGCTCGCCCCCCCTCCGAGGTCGCCCCTCAGGTCGCCTCGACAGGCGACGGGAAAAGAGGGGGGGGGGGGGCGGTGCACGGGCCCCCGGTGCACCGCGATAGGCGACGGAGCATGGCCGGGGCGGGGCCGGGGCAGGGTCGAGGAAGGGCCGAAAGGGGCGGCGACGGGGCCGCAAGTGGCGGCGACGGGGCCGCTGGAGGCGGCGACGGGGCCGATAGGGGCGGCGACGGGGCCGCTAGGGTCGGCGACGGGGCCGATAGGGGCGGCGACGGGGCCGATAGGGGCGGCGACGGGGCCGATAGGGGCGGCGACGAGGCCGCTAGGGTCGGCGACGGGGCCGCTGGCGGCGGCGACGGGGCCGATAGAGGCGGCGACGGGGCCGCTAGGGTCGGCGATGGGGCCGCTGGCGGCACCAACGGGGCCGATAGGGGCGGCGACGGGGCCGTTAGGGGCGGCGACGGGGCCGCTGGCGGCGGCGACGGGGCCGATAGGGGCGGCGACGGGGCCGCTAGGGTCGGCGACGGGGCCGCTGGCGGCGGCGACGGGGCCGATAGGGGCGGTGACGGGGCCGCAAAGGGGCCGCGAGGGGCCTGAGAGGTCGGCGACGGGGCCGCTGGCGGCGGCGACGGGGCCGATAGGGGCGGCGACGGGGCCGCGAAGGGGCCACGAGGGGCCTGGAAGGGCGGCGACGGGTCGCGAAGGGGCCGCGAGGGGCCTGACAGGGGCGGCAACGGGGCCGCGAAGGGGCCGCGAGGGGCCGAGAAGGGCGGCGACGGGGCCGCGAGGGGTGGGCGACGGGGCCACTAAGGGTCGCGCGAGGGGCACGCCACGGGGCGTGCAGAGCACAGAGTAGCAGCGGAAGCAGTTAGGTGGGCCCACAGGCCAGGAGCGTAGATGCTCTGATAGCATATTAAAAATGAGGAATGAAGAAGAGAGAGGGTTGCACTAGCAGCTGTTGGCATACATATAGGAAACCCTAACTGGGTTGTACTCGCTATAGAGTACCCCACTGCAGGCTAGACAATAATAACATTCTGACAGAAGCGTCCCGAATGGGTCATTCCCAAATTGAGTAGAGACTCTTGGTATAATCACACGTTACGCAAAGTTACGCAATGATGAAACGAAATGCACATAATCCGGTGCATGTAACCTGTTCGGTGCCTAAAACTATAATATCTATAGTAAGGCAACGAAACTAGGAAAACAAGCACACGAAAATAGAAATAAGCAAAATAATGCGAGGTAAATTGGATATAGGTAAGCATATGCACTGTACTTCCACAACGTGCTACTTCCATCACCTCGACGACCTCTTCCACGCCCACTTTGGGCCTATGACTGGCCTGCGCTGTTACGTAGTGCTTTGACTATATTTTATATTAACATATCTTAGATAGGATCTACTTTGTTTGCCATGTAAGGTGACGTCTCAAGTGCTGCCAAAATTATAATATTTGAATGTACCTAGACTATGATCTCCTGATGTGTCTAATGTAGGATCTTCAGATGTTCCCTCACTAGGTTTGTCCACTATCGATGCGTCCCTCTCCTTCGCTTTGGAGTCTGGTGCGTCCATGTGCTTCTTTCGCAATCGCTCCACCCTCTCACCGCTTCTAGTTCCTGTCGCAGTCTCCTTAGCCGACCCCTTCCCTGGACTGGTCGTCACACGCAACACTACTACAACTTAGTGCCTGGTAGTCCCGTCTGGCTCGCAAGTCTGCACACCAATTTGTTCTCCACGAACTTGGTGATTGCCAATCGTCTTCATGACTTTGGCATGGCCATCACGTTTCCAGGACACGAGCGCCCCCCGACGTGTACCGACGCTACGATTGAGGCACCTATTGTCACGTTCCCCCAGGACTCGGCGCCATGTATTTTCATGCTGCGCACTGGGTCCATCCGGATAATTGCGTCTGGTCAGGCAGTTGCGGTGTGCTCGTGTCGATTGTTCACTCAACTGTCGCTGTTGTGGCACCACTACCTAGGTTACTTCGCCCTCCCGCGTCTCCGTTACATTGCTCAGTGATGTCTTGTCTTTGGTCTCCCGTTGCCGCTCCCCGCTCTCCCTCCCCCGTCGGCACCATCGTGCACCCCTTCCATTGAGAGCAGGCGCTGTCCCTCACTCCTCTTCATTCCCCCCCCTCCCACTTGGCCTCTTCATACCTACATAGACGTCTCGGGCCCTGCCCCTATCGTGGGCCGTGCTGGGAGCGATCTGGTGATTCTAGGCGACTACTCCCACTACACAACAGTGTTGCTGCACATATATACATACCATATTAGTAGAGCTGGACATATATAATACGAAGATAACTCGATCAACGGGAGCTAGTCTATGGTCTAGGCACGGGGTAGGAGTGATCCCTGAGTTTGTTCCTTTGTCGTTTGTTTGTGCTTGCACTACTTGCTCGTTCACAAGGAGGTTTGGCAAGAGTTTCGCTAGCAAAAGTTCACAAAAAAATGGTTCGGAATGATAGCAACAAAGTTGGCAAAGCTGACTACATCAGAGCTAGCAAGAATGCAGGTCGACTGCCAGCGCAGCCCGGTCGACCGCGTTCCAGCACGACAAGGTCGACAGCGCTCCAGCAGAGCAAAGTCGCGGTCTGCCAATGGTGCAAGTCGACGGCGTGCCAATGCTGCAGCAAGGCGGTTGCATAGCGTTGCACCCGCAGGACAGCAGCGCACCCACTTCGCAGGCGCTCGCAATTGATTGGCGTGCTGTTCCTCGTCACCCGCACAGCGCAGACACCAAGTCGTCTATGTGCTGTCGACTGCACCTGAGAAGCCACATCGACCTCGGGATACCACCTCCGAGGTCGACTTCGCCAGAACCACCTGGACGACCGTCACGTGCCTTAGCAGAACCTCGTCACCTAGATAACATGGTCGACCCGGATACCACTAGGTTGGTGTCGTATGCTTCCGCAGAACCTCGTCACCAAGGTAACTTGGTCGACCTGAATATCACCAGGTCGGCGTTGACTTCCTCGGGGAAACTCGACCGAATGTTATACGTGCTCGTCGACCACCGAAGTCGACGACCACCCGCCGATTTCACCAAGTCGGTCATCCTACAGGTCGGCCCAAGTTGGTGTCGCCCACTGCTGCAGGTCGGCTGTACCTCCCACTCACCCGACCACGAAGTTGGCTCCGCCCAAGCGAGGACGGGGCCAACCACAACTTCCGTTGACATACGTTTCACAAATCCTGATAACGACGTATTGCATATCCCCTCCCCTTGGCGCATGTTGGTGCGATGTGGCGCACCAGATCTATAATGTAAGAGGTCGCACCAATATGGTGGATCTGCTTGAACCAGGTTACGCCAAAGTGCACCAGTGCGATGTGGTGTACCATGTCACATTTGCGCGCAGCAATTGCTTGCAAAGTTTCCACCAATACATACCAACTTGTCCCCAATATTTGAATTGGAAATATGGCAATCAGAAGAATCGCAAGCCCATTCAGTTTTGCAACTTCGTCCCCGCGCCGCATACCTATCTTGTACAAAGCAAACAAGAAAACCTCATTCATAAACAAAGCTCAACAGTCATGAAGTAACCATGAACATAAGAGATTAGCAAATTACGGTAGCTTCAAAACAGATTGAGTAAGAAGCTAATAGCAGGAAATACCACAACGGCCTTCTTCTAAATGAGCCTAGTCAAGCTCTTACTAGCGAACCACACGTGCATATAGCGGGTACTCCCAGAACATGCAATTTGGATGTCGACAAACCCTAGGTCAGATTATCTCAAGGCTGCTCAGGTTGTAGCCCCAAGATATAGTCCTCGGCGACTCCTAGGCTCAGGCAGTCCCTGGAGAGCCGCAACACGCACACTCAGTCTAGTGTTCATTAGGTTCCGGAACTTCTCCTAGTTGTTCTTAAGTTTGACCTGGGTGTAAGAGTAGTCGATGTTAACAAAGGTCGTACGAATTCCATGGGTTAATTTATCTGCAGATGTTCCGGTTCAGTGACTGGAAAGGTAAAGACTACAATCGATGCCTGTCAAGATTGGTGCGGCACAATTTCTGGTTTGTAGCCATTGATGTTTTAGAAACTCCACCCATCCCTACCTGAACGTCGGTGCGCTCGCCTGGTCAGAACTCCGTTTTTGCTGTTTTCTGATTATATTTTGGATAGTTCACTTAACAGCTGTCCTGATTGCAACTCTGCTCGTGCATAATGTCGTCATGTCGCCAATGCTCTTCCCCATCGGGATTAGCTTGACAGATTGGCGGTATTGCCGACCCACCATGGTCTAACCACATCCTCGCTCGAAACTGACAACAACCAGGCACCATCGCTAACATTGCTAGTCGGTTTGACGAGTTAGCAGTGCCGGTCGGTACCACGGCGGTGCTGATCGGTACCACCTCGGTGCTGGTCGGTACCACAAGTTAGCAGTGCCGGGGTTGCAGCGGTACCGTCATGGATGTGAAGCCCGTGCTGACCAAATGCGCGGGGAAGCGGTGGGAAAGCATCGGTTCCGCATCAACAACCTCTCCACCGCAGCCGGCCACTTCTCACCCACAACCAGCCACCTCGCACCCACACCTATCCGATTCAGCGAATTCCGACTCTGAAAGCAGCAAACCAAGCCGATCTCTCCTGTCCATTTTCCAGCGGGCGAAAGTTGGTGGTGGTAGCACCAGCACTGGTGGTGGTAGTCCTGCTCGCGGGACTGCTGGAGCCTCGGGAGGAGCAGCCTCGGGAGGAGCAGCCGCAGGCAAGAAGAAGGAAAGCAGATCGCCGGAGAGTAGCAATAGTCGTATCCCCGTTATAAGTTCTGCTCATTCCCGGTATACAGACGGAACGAGTGAGGATGCGTCGCCGCAAGCTGCTAGGCCGCGGGGAGCAGGCACTGCGTCAGAACCGGTTGAAGACTATGCAGTTCCAGGCGGTAGCTCGCGCCCTTCCAGCGGTAGCAGCGCCAGCAACAGCACCAGCAACAGCACCAGAAACAGCATCAGCGACAGCACCTGGAACAGCACCAGCGACAGCAGCAACAACCCCTCCGTCTCCGGCAGTAGTGGTGCCTCCTCGCGGTTCTCTCTCTCCCCGCCTCGAGATCCGTACGGGGACGCGCGAAAGATCAGCAACCGCTACTGCGTCTGGGACGATCGGCAGAAGGTCTGGTACCGCTTCGAGGGCCAAAGCAGAGTGTACTGGAAAGTCGCAGCTGGCAAATCGCCTCAGGAGGGCGAATGGGTCGCACTGCCTTATGAAGACGAACGACCGAAGGTGGACCTGGTCAGTAAACCGGGTTTCAACGCGCCTGTACGAAGCTCCACGCGTGGCATTAGTCGGACAGCAAGCGGAGACGGCGGCGCGGGGAAGAGCAGCGCGGGTGCGGAGGACGGGGAGAGGCGGAGGCGGCCGGATTCTATGTCAGGCGGGGGTCGGGGGGGTAGTGACTCCGCCAACGCGTGGAGTTTCGTGAAGGAGCAGGAGCTTACGACGGACACGGAGCAGGAGCTGAAGGCGCTGCAAGCAGGCCCGGACCCCAGCCTCGCGTCCTTGCATGTGTCCAAGTCCTTTCCGCCGGAGGTGGGCAAAGCAGCAGCGGCGAGCGCGGCAGGCGCGGTGGGGGGGAGGGGGAACCTGGGGAACCTGCAGCCGCTGCCAGTCGCGCCCCCTACCGTGCCATCTGGCGCGTCTTCTCCGCGCAGCGGCCCCTCCACGCCGCCTGAACCATCAGCCATGGGAGCTGCAGGAAGAGGAGGATTAGGAGGATTAGGAGGAGCAGGAGGATTAGGAGGAGCAGGAGGAGCAGGGCTGTACGGTTCTTCCCCTTCGAAACAGCCGTTGGAGCACAGGTCTCCCCATCCGCACACCGTGTCGCCAGACAGACGGGGTCAAGCCTCCAACCCCCTGCCCCTCCCTCCCGCCAGACAAGTAGGCGCGCTGGGCTCAGGACCAATGGCCGTGAGAATGGAAGCACCGGCGCCAGGTGTAGGCCCAGGTGTAGGGTCAGGTGTAGGGTCAGGTGTAGCAGCAGCACCAGGGCCTGTCCGCGCGCTCTTCCCCGTGCATTCCTCCCCTTCCCGGGACCTCGAAGCCGTTTCTGTGAACCATCCGCCGTCTCACGAGGCTCCGCCGTCAATCCTCGTAGGTCGAGGAGCAGCAGGGGGCGTGGGCGGTGCTGCTGCTGGTGCTGGTGGCACCGGTGGTGCTGGCGGGTTTGGTCGTGCTGATGGTGGGTTTGGTGGTGGTGATGGCGGTGGGTTTGGCGGTGGTGGGGGAAGTGGGGGTGTTAGTCCTCTCGCGCGAGGGAGGTCCGTGTCTACATCTGGAGCGCCCGGTGGCGGATCTCAGGGGCACAGCCCGCGGACTCCCGCGCCCTCTCCTATGGATGGAGCTGTAGCAGCTGTAGCAGCTGTAGCACCTGTTGCGTCCGCTTCAGCTGGCACTTCGCCGTCTGGCCGCCACAGAATGTCCCCGCCAGCAGGAGTGCCCTTTGGTGCTCCGCCTGTTGCCGGGAACCCTGCTGCGTTGAATCGGCAAGGAAGTGGAGGGGTGGGTGGGGGATTCGGAGGAGGGATGGGCGGGAATATGGGCGGAGGAATGGGAGGAAGCATGGGCGGAGGAATGGGAGGGAACATGGGCGGAGGTATGGGGGGAGGAATGGTCGGAGGAATGGGGGGCAACATGGGCGGTGGTATTGGGGGAGGAATGGGCGGAGGAATGGGGGGAGGGATGGGGGGAGGACTGGGCGGAGGAATAGGGGCAGGAATGGGGGGAGGAATGGGCGGAGGGATGGGCGGGGGCGGAATGGGGGGAGGGCTGATAGCAGGAGGAATGACGCCACCAGGGGGCATGATGACGCCACTAGTAGGAGGTATGGCAACCCCACCCGCTAGCAGCTCCAAGCTCTCAACTCGATCTGCATCCCCCTTCCGAATCAAACCTCTCGTGCCCAAGCTCGAGCCCCTCCCAATCTCCACCACCAAATCCCCCGTTGCCTCCCCCAGAGCCGCCACAGACAGGCCGCCGCTGCCCTTTGAACCTTCTCAGAACCCACAGAATCCGATGTTTCCCAAGTCGGCAAGCCAAACGTCCACCCCCGGCCAAGTGTCGAGAGTCGGCTCGATGAATGATGGGCACGGGAGGGATGTTAACGGGCTGCCCGGAGGAGCAGGGTTCGGGCAGCATTTCGGGCAGCCGCAGCCAGGGCAGCAAATAGGTCAACAGTTTGGGCAGTCAGGGCAGCAATCAGGGCAGCAGTTGGGGCAGCAATCAGGTCAGCCGTTTGGGCAGCAGTCAGGGCAGCAGTCAGGGCAGCAGTTAGGGCAGCCGTTGGGGCAGCAGGTGCAGCAGCAGCTGGGGAGAGAAGGCATGCTTCCCTGGCAGCAATTTCCCAAATCATCCAGTCAAAGTTCAAACCCCGACTCTTCCCAACCATGGCACCAGCAGCAGCATCAGCAGCATTACCAACAGCAGCAGCAGCCGCAACAGCAGTACCCGCAACAGCAGTTTCAGCCACCGCCGTTCCCCCGAACCTCCAGCCAAACCTCTTCCCACTACCCAACCTCCCCAGGCCAGGCGTCCACCCCTGGAAACCTCTCCAGGGGAGGTTCCACTAACGAGGGCTCCATGCTCGTGCCTCCAGGTGGCTCTCCTATAGTCACAGCAGCAGGCGCTGGAGCAGAAGGTGCTGGGGATGAGGAGGGGGACGGGTGGGTGCCTCAGAGGGGAAGGTGGAAGAAGGGCAGCAGGATAGGGTCGGGAGGATTCGGGTCCGTGTACAAAGGAAGCGACATGTAAGTGTTTCTTAAGACATCTCGATAATTTGTCTCATGGATTGGGTCGAAGGGATTTGGGTCCGTGTACAAAGGAAGCGACATGTAAGTGTTTCGAGGCAGCTCTGATGCTGGTTCAATCCCTCTGTTCCTTTGGTCCTGTCAAGGCGTTCTACGGAAGTCCATTCAAGTCAAGTCAGGTCAACTGTTCCGCGATTGCTTATTTTCCATTTTTCTCCTGCGGGCATCTACAGAATGCCTCGTTCTCGTATCTCTTTTCTCATTCAAGCATTCAGGAGAGAATAACGTTGACTCCTCCTCCCTCACATCTTACATGCCACGTGCTCGTCTGTCTCCCTGATCGCACACAAACACGTTTCTCCCCCTTGTTATATTTGTCTCATCCGCAGAGATACATCACGTGTGTTTGCGGTCAAGGAGGTCAATATCTCGGCTCGGACCATAAGTCGATCTTCCCACCCGCCCCACAGCAAACACCCATGTCTTTCTCTCCCTCCCCTCCATGCTACCTCGTCTCATCCGCAGCGATACATCACGTGTGTTTGCGGTCAAGGAGGTCAATATCTCGGACCACAACTCTATCTCTCAGCTCGTGCAGGTGCGTGGCAGTGGCATTTTGGGCAATGTGTGCATGTGTGTGAGAGGAAGGTTGGGTGTGGGTGTGGGCGGGTGGGTGGATGTGGGTGTGGGTGGGTGTGGTGGGTGTGGGTGTGTGGGTGAGTGGTGTGGGTGGGTGCATGCACGCACATGCAGGTGTGCTCGCACATATGTCTGTCTGGGCCCCTGAACATGCTTGCTCAGACAAAAGCTGCTGCGCCTTCCATTTTCTCATCCGTTTTTGCAATTCTCTCTCTCCCAATCCCCCAACCTCCCCTCCCCACTCCCACCCTACCTGCTTTCACCATCCCACAATTCTCACACTCTCTCATACTCGTGCATGTGCACATAGTGCCCACATGTACGTGGACGTTTTGAGGCCCATGCGTGCATAGCACACTCGCACACACAGATGCACACATGTTGCACTCTCACTTCAAGGATTTTCCACCTCACTTTTCCCTCGTCCTCTTCCCCTTCCACTTTCTCCCCCTCACTCTCCCCTTAACCTCACTCCCCCTCACTCTCCACTTAACCTCACTCCCCCTCACTCTCCACTCGCATGCAGGAGATCGATACTTTGAAGAAAATGCGTCACAAGCGCATCGTCCGATACCTGGGCTCGGAAACTGTGAGTTTGGGTCTAGTCCCTAGTTCCAAAACAAGCCTCTAGTCTCTAAAATCTCATGAGCGCATGGTCTGATACCTGGGCTCGGAAACTGTGCTCTTGGCTTGCTTTCTACTGCTGCTTCTAGTCTCTAGATGCTCTCACTCGCACAAACACTTGGATACTGTGAGCTGCTTGTTGCTTTGTTTCGAAAACTGCTTCCAGATGGGTGCAAGCAAGTCCTCGACCAGTTCTCCTATCCCTGACAAGTGCATGTACCTGTTCGCTGAGTACATGGACACATCGCTCTCCAAGTACCTGGAGGTCTTTGGCCCCTTGGATTAGAGGAGCACCAGGTGTCACTATGCCCGTCTCAAATTACAATCCCCATGTCCATCCCCCTCTTCGCTCCAACCCCTCTCCTCCCCCTCCAGGACGACAAGTGCATTTACCTCTTTCTCGAAGACATGGACACATCACTATCTAAGTATCTAGAGGACTTTGGCCCCTTGGAGGAGCACCACTTGACATGCTTGTGTCTCTCCCCGCCTCCCCTCTCCTTCCATCTTCTCCCCATACCAACCCTGCTCTCCTCTACGCCAGGACGACAAGTGCATGTATCTCTTTCTCGAGTACATGGACACATCGCTCTCTAAGTACCTGGAGGACTTTGGCCCCTTGGAGGAGCACGGCTTGTCACACATTCTTGTGTCTCTCCCCGCCTTCCCTCTCCTTCCTTCTTCTCCTCTCCCTCCCCAGGACAACAAGTGCATGCACCTCTTTCTCGAGTACATGGACACATCCCTCTTCAAGTAACTGGAGGACTTTGGGCCCTTGGAGGAGCTCTGCTTTAAACTCATGCCCGTGTCTCTCCCGGCTGTCATTCTCCTCCACTCTTTCCTCTCCCCGCCAGGACGACAAGTGCATGTACCTCTTCCTTGAGTACATGGACACATCGTTCTCCAAGCACCCAGAGGACTTTGGCCCCTTGGAGGAGCACCGGTTGACATCCTTGTGCCTCTCCCCGCCTTCCTTCTCCTTCCCTCCCTTCTCCCCCCCAGGACGACAAGTGCATGTACCTGTTTCTTGAGTACATGAACACGTCTCTGTCTAAATACCTGGAGGACTTTGGCCCCTTGGAGGAGCACCGCTTGAACCACATTCCTGTGCCCCTCCCCGCCTTGCACTTCCTTCCCTCTCCTTCCTTCTTCTCCTCTTCCCTCCAGGACGACAAGTGCATGTACCTCTTCCTCGAGTACATGGACACATCTCTCTCCAAGTACCTGGAGGACTTTGGCCCCTTGGAGGAGCATCAGATCGCCAAGTACACTCGCCAGCTGCTGGAGGGGCTGGCTTACCTGCATGACAACAACATCGTTCATCGGTGGGTGGTTGAGGAGAAGAGAGGGTTGAGATTTAGGGGCTTGAAAGTGGGTGCTTGGCTCAGCCGTTACCTGAAAGTGGTTCCAGTATAGGGTTGAGGCTTAAGGGCTGGCTTTCGAGTCGACTCAAAAGGCACCTGGAGGACTTTGGCCCCTTGGAGGAGCACCAGATCGCCAAGTACACTCGCCAGCTGCTCGAGGGGCTGGCGTACCTGCATGACCACAACATCGTGCACCGGTGGGTGGGTTAGTAGGGTGGTGTGCGGTTGATGTGGGCGGAAGGTAGGGCTGCTATTGGGAGGCGTTGCTGGAGGGGCTGGCGTACCTGCATGACCACAACATCGTGCACCGGTGGGTGGGTTAGTAGGGTGGTGTGCGGTTGAGGTGGGTGGGTGGGTGGGTGAGTGGGTGGGGGGGCGGGGAACTGGGGGGCTGGGTGGATGACCACAACATCGTTCACCGGTGGGTGGGTGGGCGTGCGTCAGGTTGGTGGGTGCTTGGGTTCAAATGAGTGGCGCAGTTATAATGACTCTGAGGCCTTTCTGCACTGTTCTTTCTTCCCTTTTGTGTCATTATTACTGACTTGCAACCGACAGGGATGTGAAGGGGAAGAACATTCTGACTTTTGAGGCGCCTCAAAAGGCGCAGTTATAATGACTCTGAGGCCTTTCTGTACTGTTCTTTCTTCCCTTTTGTGTCATAATTACTTACTTGCAACCGACAGAGACGTGAAGGGGAAAAACATTCTGCTGGATACCAAGGGAAACGCCAAGCTCGCTGACTTTGGTGTAGCGAAATATGTGAGTCACCTCTCATTCCGTCTCTCCGTTTCAGGGTGTTTTTGAGAATTCTCAAAAACACCCTGCAGAATTCTCAAAAACACCCTGCACTTTGGTGTAGCGAAATACGTGAGTCACCTCTCATTCCGTCTCTCCGTTTCTCCCCACCCTCTCACTCCTCTTTGCCTATCCGCTTCCCCCTCACCTCACAACCCCCCTCTCCATGGCTTTTCATCATTTTCTCTCATTTCCCTTCTCATCGTTTTGTCTTCATGCTCATCTATCATTGCACATAATGTATCACACATCCCACATCCTGAATCCCATCCCACACCACATCACGCATCACACATCACGCATCACACATCACCCATCGCACATCACCCATCACACATCACGCATCACGCATCACGCATCACACATCACGCATCACACATCACCCATCGCACATCACCCATCACACATCACGCATCACGCATCACGCATCACACATCACGCATCACACATCCCATACACGGCATGGCACATGGGCAGGTGGAGACGCCATCAGACATGTCGGGCATGCGCGGCACTGTGTGGTGGATGGCGCCTGAGGTGAGTTTTGAGCCCTCACCTCCGCCCCTCTTCTTCCCTTGATTGGGGTCATGGGGTGATTCTGGCATGAGGTGACTATGGCATGTGGGCAGACTCAGGCATGCGCGGCACCGTGTGGTGGATGGCGCCTGAGGTGATTGCGAGGCCCCCCCCCCTGGGTGTTGCATGAGGTGAGCCTTCCCCACCCTAACCTGGGTGAGGCACAGGGTGATTGGGGTGGGGTCCCATCTCCCGAGTGGCACATGAGGTGAGGGCGAGGTGAGAGAGAGAGTCGTACCCAGCCGTACCTCAAGCCTGGTTGGTTGTACTGGCTGGGTAGAACGCGTTAGTACTAGCAGTGCTGGTTGGGTATGCAGGGTACGGTGTGTGTGTGGTGGGTAGTGTCTGAGGTGGATCTGGAGTGGAGTTAACCCGGGTGGGGCATGCGGTGGTGATTCTGGTGTGAGGTTGTGGCTTGTGGGGGCTATGTCATGCCACAGCTTCACGTCATATGCTGAGGCTGTGCCGGTGGTTAAATGCTCATCCTTAGGGATGAGCTGAGCAATATAACGAACTCCTTTTCGGTTCGCTAAATTGTTCGGGGCGAACGTGTTCGGTGTTCGCCCGAACACGTTCGCTGTTCGCCCGGCTCAGCTGGCCGAGGCGCGTCGAACACGAACGTGTTCGTGTTCGACACGGGCCTTCGACAAACACCAATGTGTTCGTCGACGAATAGGCCCGCGACCAATTTTTAGGTCGCGGGCCTTGGTGTTTGGGCTCAGATTTGGCATTTCGCCATTCCTTAAGTGCAGATCGAGCATTTCGCCGTTGCTTAAGTGCAGATCGAGCATTTCGCCGTTGCTTAAGTGTAGATCGAGCATTTCGCCGTTGCTTAAGTGCAGATCGAGCATTTCGCCGTTGCTTAAGTGCAGATCGAGCATTTCGCCGTTGCTTAAGTGTAGATCGAGCATTTCGCCGTTGCTTAAGTGCAGATCGAGCATTTCGCCGTTGCTTAAGTGCAGATCGAGCATTTCGCCGTTGCTTAAGTGCATATCTAGCATTTCGCCGTTGCTTAAGTGCAGATCTAGCATTTCGCCGTTGCTTAAGTGCAGATCTAGCATTTCGCCGTCACACGCTACGCTGGCATTAGCATGGATGAAGCAGGGCGGGACTGGCTTGGGGGGTGGGGGGAGGGAATGTGCAACGATTTGAACTTTTACTCTATTTGGACCTTACAGCCACCTAACAAATATCAACAATGCACAATCCACGAACGTGTGACTTTCGTGAATGTAGTCCCGGGGCGAACACGAACGTGTTTGCCACGAACACGTTCGTGTTCCCCTGCATCAACAAGGTGTTCGCCTTCACAGGCGAACGGCAAACACCCTTTTTTGCTAAAGCTGTTCGGCGAACCGAACAGTGTTCGGTCCGCCGAACGGCGGTGTTCGTGCAGGAGCGAACGCGAACACGTTTGTGTTTGCCTCTTGCTCATCCCTCCTTGCTCTGTTTTGTGTGTGTGTGTGTGTGTGTGTTTTTTTTTTTTTTTTTTTGCTCCGTTTTGTGTGTGTGTGTTTTTTTTTTTTTTTTTTTTTTTGCTCCGTTTTTTGTGTGTGTGTGTGTTTTTTTTTTGCTCCGTTTGTGTTCCTTGCTTCATCCATAAAATCCTTGCCTACCCACTTCACTGCCCGCTTCCCCCCAGGTGGTCAACAAGCGGCCGGACGGGTACAACTGGCCGGTGGACATCTGGAGTTTGGGCTGCACTGTTATCGAGATGGCCATGCGGGTTTTTATAAACGCCTGCTCACTTCAACTCCTCGACATCCCCACCCCTCTCTGCCCCTCCGCTCCCTGCTTTCCTCCTCCCAGGTGATCAACAAGCGGCCGGACGGGTACAACTGGCCGGTGGACATCTGGAGTCTCGGTTGTACTGTCATTGAGATGGCCATGCGGGTTGTCGATAAGCGTCTGCGCATCCCTTGGCTTGACATCGAAGGCAAGCCGCCCTGGGGGGCGTCGCCCACTGACGGGGTGAGTCTGGTCAACTCAAGGGTCCGTCAGCATGTTAGGGTTTTCCACACACAAGCGTCTGCGCATCCCCTGGCTTGACATCGAAGGCAAGCCGCCCTGGGGGGCGTCGCCCACTGACGGGGTGAGTCTGGTCAACTCAAGGGTCCGTCAGCATGTTAGGGTTTTCCACACACAAGCGTCTGCGCATCCCCTGGCTTGACATCCAAGGCAAGCCGCCCTGGGGGGCGTCGCCCACTGACGAGGTAAGCTGAACCGATGGGGGGTGAGGTTCTGAGTCGACTCAGGAGGCACCTTGTTAGGGCTGTCACGTACAAGCGTCTGCACATCCCCTGGCTTGACATCCAAGGCAAGCCGCCCTGGGGGGCGTCGCCCACTGACGAGGTGAGTTTCTTCTCTGGGGTGGAGTGGAGTGCCTTTTGAGTCGACTCAAAAGTGGAGTGCCTGTGCATCCCCTGACTGGACACAGGGGGCAGGACGGCACGCAAACCCGAAACCCCTATTGATGGGGTAAGGCTCTGAATCAACTCCCAGCAGTCAGCTTGTCATTCTGATGCACACGCGCCTGTGCAGCGCACCCCCTGGCTGGACACAAAGGGGCGTGTCGCCTCTCCCTCGCCTCTCCCTCGCCTCTCCCTCGCCTCTCCCTCGCCTTGTCCTCCCCTCCCTCCCCGGCCCTCCCCTACCTTAGGTGATGGGTATCCTGCATAACCACAACCCCCCCGCCCATCCCCAGCCACCTCTCAGACTGCGCCAAGCACTTCCTCCACCACTGCCTTGCACTCAACCCCTCCTTCCCTCCCACCCTTCCCCTCTTCCCCTCCCCCAGATGGCGGCTATTCTGAGAATAGGCGGCACAACAACCCCACCGCCCATCCCCAGCCACCTCTCAGACTGCGCCAAGGACTTCCTCCGCCACTGCCTCGCTGTCAACCCCTCCCACCGCCTGCGAGCCCACAAGCTCATGCAGCATGTGTTTGTCGCAGGGCCAGTGCCCGTGGGGATGGGGTTGAGCAGTGGAGGCATGGGCAGTGGAGGCATGAGTAGTGGAGGCATGAGTTCGGGTCATTTGGACGCTCCTCGCTCCCCCAGGTAAGCCGATGCCCATGCCCATCCCATGCACCTCCTCCCCCTCCCATCGCCTGAGAGCACACAAGCTCATGCAGCATGTGTTCGTCGCAGCGCCAGTGGGCTCCAGTCCCATGCCCGTAGGGGTGGGGATGAGCGGGGCGGGCATGAGTGGCGGAGGGATGAGTGGGGGCATGAGTTCAGGTCATATGGACGCTCCTTGCTCCCCCAGGTAAGTCCATTCACCCCCCACCCTTGCTCCAAGTAAGCCCATGCACCCATCCTTGTTGCTTCTCCTGCTGCCACTTAATTGATCTTGTCCGCTCTTCTTTCTTTCATCCTGATTCTCCCCTCTCCCTCGGTTTTCATCCCACCTCTTCACCCTCTCTTGCCTCTCAACCTATTTCTCCCAGGTCGGTGTCCTCCCAGCCCTCCTATCCTTCCCCATGGGAGCAACCTTCGTACCATCAACAGCAGCAACAGCAACAGCAACAGCAGCAGTATCAGCAGCAGCAACAGCATCAACAACAACAGCAGCAGCACCAACAGCAGCAACAACAGCAGCAGCAGCAGCAACAGCACCTCAATTATCAGCAGCAGCAACACCCGTCTTGGCGCGATTCCGGTCCGATTCCATCCGGGCCTCCGTCCTCCATGCCTCCTTCCTCAGGCCCGGCGTTGTCCGGACCTGGCATGTACTCCGGCCCTGCTGCCGGACCTGGCAGGCACGGATGGAGGGACGACATGGCTGCCCGGGATTATAATGCCGGACCTCCGTATTTCCCAGGCTCGGCAGCAGGCTTGGTGGCCAACGGAGGTGGGAGAATGAGCCCACAGCATATGTACTCAAGGGGGCAAAACAGCAGTGAGTTTGGGCTAGAGGAAAGAGGAGGGGGAGGGGGAGGAGGGGGAGTGATACCACCTGCTAGGACCCGCAGCAGCCCAACTGTTGACCTGCGAGAGATGGCTGATCATGCTGAAGCTTTTCTCAATAATAACGCTGGTGCGAGTGGCGGGGGGTTTGCTGCTGGTGATGGGGCTGGTGCTACCAGAACCGGACCAGAGCCGCTGTTTGGTGGCAGTGGCATTGGCAGCGGCGGCGGTGGTAGGAGGGATCCAGAGCCTTTGTTTGGCGGCAGTGGCAGTGGCGGCGGCGGCAGGGGTGACCCAGAGCCTTTGTTTGGTGGCAGTGGCAGCGGTGTCGGCGGTGGTAGGAGGGATCCAGAACCTTTGTTTGGTGGCAGTGGCATTGGCAGTGTTGGTGTTGGTAGGGGGGACCCAGAGCCTCTGTTTGCAGCAGGTCCTGCAACTTCTGCTGCTGGTGGCAGTGTGGGTGGTTTGGCTGGTAATGGTGGTCCGGAGCCGTTGTTCCGAGGCTCGGGTGGCGGTTCGGGTCCCGAGCCTCTCTTCTCCGCCAGCAGCACTGCAGCTTCCAGCGCTAGTGGTAGAAGCCATTCAGGTTCGGGCCCCGAGCCTCTTTTCCCGAGCCAGGACAACCGGACCTCACCTCCTCCTCATCACCAGTACCAGCAGCAGCAGCAGATGCCTCTCGACCGCACACGCAGTCCCACATCTAATGAGTTACAACCCGTTGGAGGCACAGGCAGCAGCAGCAACAACAGTATTAATTACCCAGGCAAATCCCCGCCTAGAAGCAAGCCTAAATCCCTCTCCGGCCCTCTCACGCCGCCCCGCCGCCGCCCGAACAGAGAGTCAGGACGCACATACAGCCATGGAATGCCGGCCCTTCCAGACCAAGCAGCTTACCTGGAGGAGAGTGAAGGGGCGGGGGATCGGCCATATAGCGGTGGTGGGAGATCATTGGGGGGAGAGCAAGATGGGTATCCATCGTATGACCGAGAGAGAGAAAGAGAGAGGGAGCAGGATAGGGAAATGTGGGAGAGGGAGAGGGAGCGGGAGAGGGAGCGGGAGAGAGAGCGAGAGAGGGAAGGGTATAGCCATAGGCAAATGTCGTCTGGACCAGAGCCTGGTGCGTATGCTCCCACTGGTTCTCTTCCTTATCACCACCAGAACTCGCAGCAGCAGCAGCAGCAGCAGCAGCAGTATGGTGGGTTGGAACAACGGCAGTCTGTACAGGATCAGCCTATATCGAGACGATCTCCTGAGCCATCTTCCCCGCGATCACCCTCAAGCTACGGGCGGGCAAAGCCTTTGTTCCCCGATGGGGGCATGGGTGGGGGTGGGATTGGCAGTGGCAGTGGCAGCAGCAGCAGTAGCGGTGGTGGGTTTGGTGCTGGTGGTGGGGGTGGTGGTGGGGGTGGAGGGATGTATGGGGGCCCACATGGCCTTTCTCCTCCACCTCCGCAGATGGTTGCTAGGGGGAGTAGTGCAGATGGGTATGGCAGTGGTGGAGATGGGTATGGCAGTGGTGGGGATGGGTATCGCAGTGGTGGCGATCAGTTTGGTGGTGGAGGGCCAGTGGGGCATTGGAATCAGAGGTAAGAGGGTCGTTTTATGCCTTCTCTTGTTTGTTTTTGTCTCCTTTCTGACTTTTCTTGTTTTCTTATGTCTTCTTTCTGTCTCCTCTTGTTTCCCAACTCATCATTTTCCTCATCCCTCCTCTCTTCTCCACCTCCCTTCCCTTCCCCACCCATCACCCTGAGCAGAGACGTTTCCCCCCACCGAGCTTCCTCCCTCTCCATCCCCCCACACGACCGCCCCCACAACTTCCCCTTGCAAGGCCCCCACACGGCTCCCTTGCACCAGTCACCCAGCCAGTACCCCTACTCTTCCCAGCAAAACCCATACCACCACCCCCAACCGCAGCAGAACCCCTCTTACCCCCAGCGGCCTTACGACCACTACCCCCCGCCGCCGCCTAACCAATACTCGCAGCAGATGTGGCAGGGTGGGGGGGGGGGAGGAGGGGGAGGAGGGGGGGCAGGGGGAGGAGGGGGGCGGATGGGGGGTGGGTGGGAACAGGGGGCAGAGGGTATGGGTGGGTATGGGTCTTCAGCTCAAGTCTCTGGTGCTGGTGGTGGGGGTTATTCTGGTGGTATACGGGGGGACATGAGAGGAGGTATGGGCCCAGGCATGGTAGCAGGTTCGGGATCAGGTATGGGTCAAGGTTCAAGGCCAGGTTCGGGAGCTGGTCTGGGCTCTGGACCAGGCCCAGGTCTGGGACCTCAGGGTTTCAATGGTGGTGGCGGCGGTGGTGGTGATCGTGGTCATGGGAGTGGCACTGGTGGTGGGTATGGTGGTGATTATATGGGGCAGCCTGTTGGGCTAGGGGGGATTGGAAGAACTCTCTCCACAGGGGAGTGGGAGCAGCGGCAGCATTCGAATCAGTACATGAACCAAAGCTACAGTAACGCGCCGATATCAAATAGTTACAATGTGGGTGGAGGAGCTGGGGGAAGGTATAGTAATGGTCCAGGTTCAATGTATGGAGGCGGAGGACGTGGGGGTTCCCCGGTTCCTCCTCAGCAGTACATGCAGCAGTCGCACTGGCAACAGCCTGGGCCTGAGCAGTTACGGGGCTCGGGAGGAAGTGGTAACGTTGGTAACAGCGGGGATTTAAGCGGGACAGGATCTGCATGGCAGCAGTACCAGGCTAGAAGGGCATCGCATGGTATGCACCCACAGCAGCAACACCAGTGATTTGCCGTAGTATTTATTTCTAGCTAAGTCGTGAAGAACGATGTCATGTAGCTTTTTGAGAATCGAAAAGGAAATTGGGAAGTGTCATGTCACAATATCTGTGGTGTTCGTAATCATGATGTTATTCGCCTGTGAAGTGAAATTGTCTGATCTTGTATTTTATATCATACCGTACGCTTGTTGTCGCCCTCAGTTTCAGCCCCTTTGATTGCCCTGTATGTAACGTGCGGCATTCTCAAGGCTCGCGGAACTCGCGAATCTAGCACAGCCCTCGCCCTCGAATTGCTCTTGCAGAACGGGTGTCCCATCGGGTTCAATACTGCATACAACCCTTCTGTAACCGTTATTGACCACTCTAGAACGCGAAACACCTTATGGAGCCGCATCCCGAGTCCCGAAGGATTTCAGCAGCACACAAATCAAGCAGCCTCCTTGCCGTCTATTGCCTGCAGTTGTTTCTTTGTTGTTAGTTCTTGAATTTGCAACACCCCGCGGAGCTTTCTCTTCATATCTCTCCCGGCGCATCGCTGCGTCGTGCAGGCCTCCTTTCTTGACCGAAAATTCGCGTGTTATACTACGTGCATATTTTGTTTTTCCTCCGTTTGCGAATCCACGCGAGATATGGCGGGAATCCGTGCCGCGTTCCTCCCGCTGCTGCTTCTCGCCGGCCTTACCGCGTGCGCGGGATTCTCCGCCAGGCCGTTCTTTCCCGGCGTATCTGTTGAAACTCCCCAAAAGGGATTCTCCGCCAGAACGTTATTTCCTGGCGTCCTTCGCCTGCCGTTGGCTGACGTGGCAGAGCCTCAGCAACTGCTGCTGCAGCAGCAGCAACAGCAAGACGCCGACGCGGAAAATGACGGCACCGGCAGCCGCAGCAGCAGCAGGATTGGACTGAGAGGAAGCGGCTCCTTTCTTGCGAGAGACGCGGTTGATACTTCGCAGAGGCAGGAGCCGCAGCTGCCGAATCAGAAGGAGAAGAAGCTGAAGCTGAAGCAGCCTCCCCCGTGTAAGCAGCCTGCAACCATCCCCCAGATAAGAGCCTTTTCCTGGGTAAACTTTCTTCTGTACTGGAAAAAGACAAGAGAGAGAGAGAAAAAGAGACAACTGTAGCAAAAAAAAAGTAGTATTTGCTTTCAAAACCTCACGTCTAGCATGTTTCTTCCGTTATTTCTTCTGCTCTTTCTTTTGGTCGAGTGTGCTTACAGCGCAGGGAGTGGCGTACCGTGCAGTGCCTGATCCCGACCTCGCAAGCCCCCCGTTTGAGTCACCCTACACGGCCCCTGACATTCCCTTGGACTATCACCAGCAGAACGGCACCAACAACCCCGAGCAGGTCAGTCAGTTGTCTGGATGCCGTTAGCACTCAGTCACAACCTACACAGACCCGAGGAAGGGCTCCTGACATTCCCTTGGTTGAACCACCACCAGCAGAACGGCACTAACCACCCCGAGCAGGTCTGGTTGCTACAGCGGGAATGAGCGTGTTTGCTGCTAGCAGGTGAGTCTGGCTGTTATTGGCAGACGAATGTTGAGTCAACCTACACGGCTCCTGACATTCCCTTGGTTGGACTACCGCCAGCAGAACGGCACTAACCACCCCGAGCAGGTCAGCCTGCTCTATGCATGATCCTAGTACTCCCTCTTGAATAAGGTTCACAGATGCACGTTTGAATCACCCTACACGGCTCCTGACATTCCCTTGGTTGGACTACCACCAGCAGAACGGCACTAACCACCCCGAGCAGGTGCTTCTCGCCCCAGATTCTCCCAATGGTCTGTTCGTGTTTGTATGGTGCAGCATCCCCAGCACCATGCCATTTGGCCCATGCGAGATGAAGCACCAGTTGCCCCAACTTATGCTTTCTTCTCCCCCACCTTTTCTCCTCCCACCCTCACCCTTCTTCTTCCTCAGGTGTTTCTCGCCCCGGCTTCTCCCGATGGTCTTTTCATGTTTGTACGGTTTGTCATCCCCAATATCATGCCGTTAAACGCATGCGAGAAGAGGCACAAGCTGCCCATGCTTATGCGCTCTTCACCCCTCTTCCCTCCACCCTCCACCCTCCCCCCTCCCTTTTCTCTGCCCAGGTGCTTCTCGCCCCAGCTTCTCCCGATGGTCTTTTCATGTTTGTACGGTTTGTCATCCCCAACATCATGCCGTTAAGCGCATGTGAGAAGAGGCACAAGCTTCCAATTGACCTGCTCACGGAACTAGGGGAAGAGGCAGGGCGTGTCATCAAGTCTAGTGAGGGGAAAGCAGGTGTGGGGGAGGAGGAAGAGGACGAGAAGGACGCGAAGGAGGGGGAGGGAGGAGAAGAAGAAGGGGAGGAGGGGGAAGAGAGGGAGGTGGAGGGGGGTTTTGTGGAAGGCGGGATGGGTGCGAGCAAGTGCAGGCGCAAGCGCTCTGTGCTTTATGGCACGGACCCCAACGCCCTCAACCAGTCAGCAAGGTGCAGCAAGATCCATGTGCTAACTAAAAATTGGAAAGGCAAACTTTGTTCATCTGCGCAAGCGCTCCGTGCACTATGGCACAGACCCAAACGCCCTCAACCAATCGGCCAGGTGGGGTAGGATCCATGTGTACACACAGACCTAAAAGGTACTCTATTCATCTCAATGAGCAGGCGCAAGCGCTCCGTGCACTATGGCATGGACCCAAGCGCCCTCAACCAGTCAGCAAGGTGGGGCAGGGTCCACATGTACACCTAAAATGGGAGGGTAACTTGGTTGGTTCGCCTCAATGTGGAGGAGCACAACCCAACACTCTTAACCAGTTGGTCAGGTAGGGCACATTTCAACCTTACACCTTAAATGGGAGGGTAACTTGGTTTGCCTCAATCTGCAGCCGCCCTCCTTCCCTTCCCCCCCTTTTTTCCCCTCCGTCCCTTCTTTCCTCCCCCCTGTTATGACCAGTGGTTATTCCTTCTACTATGCATTCGCAGAGGGCACAGACGGAGCATACGTGTCGGAAGATACATTCTTCATCCCCATCGGCCTGCTCCTCCCCTTCTTCCCTGTTCCACCGCCCCCCTCTTTTTCCTTCCTCTCTCCTGCTGCCACCACCAGTGGTCGTTCCTTCCGCTATGCCTTTGCAGAGGGCACAGACGGAGCATACGTGTCGGGAGATACATTCTTCATCCCCATCGGCCCACTCGTCCCCGCAACGCGCTACTTCTATCGAATCGACGGCTCCCCAACCACCCACTCCTTCACCTCGCTTCCTGCCCCTGGCTCTGCTTCCACCTACCCGTTCAAAGTCGCACTTGTGGGTGAGTCGTGAGTCGTGAGTCTGTTTCTCGCCCTGGGGTATGTGGCCTCCACCACCCACCCTCTCGTTCCCCTCCCTTCCACGCGCTACTTCTACCGAATCGAAGGCTCTCCCATCACACACTCCTTCGTGTCACTCCCTGCCCCTGCCTCTGCTCTGCTTCTGCCCCGGTCAAAGTCGCACTTGTGTGTGTTTGTAATTGGAGGGTGCTTTTGCGTCTTCCAGTTGACTGCTTCAACCCGTCAGCCTGCTCCACCCCTCCACTTGTGGTGAGTCTGTTTCTCACTTATGTAACAACTCCTTTTTTACCATGAGGCTCAGACGCTCAGCAGCAGCACCACCACATTTGACCGTGTCAAAACTTCACTGTCTACACTCAGACGCTCCCTGGCCCCTGTCAATGAGGCTCATGCGCTCAGCAGCAGCGCCATATTTGACCATGTCAAAGCCCACAGCTCCAGCCTGGTGCTGCTCGCATGCTGAATGTTCTTCCCCTCCTCGTTTTGGTCTCCATTGCCCCGATCCGCCAGGCGATGTGGCTCAGACGCTCAGCAGCAGCGCCACATTTGACCATGTCAAAGCCCACAGGTCCAGCCTGGTGCTGCTCGCAGGGGAGCTGAGTGCTCGCCTCCCGTCCTCTTTCCCCTCTTTTTCCATCTGGCCTCCCTCCTTCTCTTCCCCGTGCCCTGTCCCCATGGCCCCTCTCCTTCTTCAGGCGATGTGGGTCAGACGCTCAACAGATGCACCACATTCGACAACGTGAAAGCCGGCAACCCCAGCCTGGTGCTGTTCGCGGGGGACCTGAGCTCTTCCGCCTCCTGCTTTCCACCTCACCTCTATCCCCTCTGCCCTCCATGCCATAATTGCCCCACATCCTCCCCGCCAGGCGATGTGGGTCAGACGCTCAACAGCAGCACCACATTCGACAATGTGAAAGCCGGCAGCCCCAGCCTGGTGCTGTTTGCGGGGGATCTTAGCTACGCTGACCAGTACGGCCCACCGCACTGCACACCTATGGACTCTGCTCAATCTCTCCTGACTGCTGATTCTCCTGAGGCTGGCGGAAAGAGCGAGAGCGAGAGGGAAAGGACGAGCAAGATATGTGGGCTGGGAGGGGTGCGCTGGGACTCCTACGGCCGCTTGTCCGAGAAAGTATTCGCCCATATCGTAAGTTCCTCTGCGAGCCTTGGTGCATCTTGTGTGTTTTTCCTGTCACCCGCACTGAGGAGAGGATCCCTCTTGGGAGGAGCAAGATTTGTGGGCTGGGCGGAGTGCGCTGGGACTCCTATGGCCGCTTGTCCGAGAAAGTATTCGCCCATATCGCCCAGGTATCGTAAGTTCTTCTGAAGTTCTTCGCCCAAATCGCCCAGGTATCGTAAGTTCCTCTGCGAGCACGATTTTGAGAATTTTCAAATGCGGCACGATTCTTGGTGCATCTTGTGCCATTCTTTTTCATAAAGAGCTTCCAGCACTGCTATGTTTCACGAGAAATGTTCCTTTATGGAAAATGCACCAAGATGTTCTTGTGACGCAAAGAATCTCCAGCACTGCTATCCTCGCCTGCCGCTGCCACATGTAGCTTATGCTAATACATGCATATACATATATGTATATATATACAAATACAAATACAATAACAAAAACAAAAACGATATTCAAGGTGTCCCATCTGTACGTACTCTCCTCGCCTGCTGCTGCCAGCCTGTGGCGCACGTCCCAGGGAACCATGAGATCGAGCTCGTGCCGAGGTGGGGCGAGCTGCGGCCGTTCAAAGTGTATTCTGCACGAATCCCCCCTCTGCTGCACCACCACCACCCGCTGCTGGCGAGCCTGCTGTCCAAGGTGAGGGCTGTGGGTTGTGGCTTCTCATAGCGCTGAGAGCTGTCGTTGCAGCTCGCTAAAATGCGTCTCATCTACTCCTTGGACATTCCACCCTCTTATGTATTTCCTCGCCCTTTCATTTCTTGCTTCACCCCCTCGTGGTATCAGGCAGGATCAATCCTTCTCATTACCACCACCATCATCACCACCACCATGCATACCCCTTTCCACTCTTTGTTGTGTGTCCCTATCTCCTTCAAATTCCTTTTGATCAGCACCACCACCATGCGTAACCATCCAAGGCGTGTCTCTTTTACTCCATGGACATCGGCTCCTCTTCTAGGTGTGTTTTGAGTCGACTCAAAACACTTCCGAGAGCCACTTTTCTCTTATGCGTCCCTCTCTCCTCCATCCCTCTCTCCTCCATCCCTCTCTCTCCATCCCTCTCTCCTCCATCCCTCTCTCCTCCATCCCTCTCTCTCCATCCCTCTCTCCTCCATCCCTCTCTCTCGCCTTGCCTCACCCGTTTGGTATCAGGCCGGACTTACTCCCAACCACCATCACCATCATCATCACCACCATGCGTACCCGGCCAAGGCACCGCTCTTCTACTCCATGGACATCGGCCCCGTGCATGTGATCGCCATCAACTCCTACTCGCCCTTCGTTATCTACACGCACCAGGTAATGTGGGGTGGTGTCTGTCATGTGGTGTGGTGTGGTATGGTGTGGTGTGATTCAGTGCGGTGCAGTGTGGCGTGGTGTGGTAACTAGCCTCTCTTCTACTCATTGGACATCGGCCCCGTGCATGTGATTGCTGTCAACTTCTACTCGCCCTTCGTTATCTACACGCACCAGGTAATGTGTGGTGTGGTGTGGTGAGGTGTGCTGTGCTGTGCTGTGGTGTGGTGTGGTGTGGTGTGGTGGTGTGTGGTGTGGTTCTGTGTGGTGTTGTAACTAATCTTTTCTACTCTCTGGACATCGGAACTGTGCATGTGTTCGCAATCGTCTCCTACTCGCCTTTCGTTATCTACACGCACCAGGTAGCACAGTTAGATGCAAGGGACAGGCATATGGTGTTGTGAGTAGTTGGGTGCACTGTGGTGTGGTGCAGTGCTGTGTGGTGTGGTGGTTCCACTCTTCTATTCCCTTGGACATCGGCCCAGTGCACATGATCGCTATCAACTCCTACTCGCCCTTCCAGATCTACATGCACCAGGAAGGATGGGGTGTGGTGTGGTGAGGTGCGGTGTGGCATGGTTCAGTGTGGCGTGGTGTGGCGTGGTGTGGTGTGGTGTGGTGTGGTGGGGTGGGGTGTGGTGGGATGGGGTGGGGTGGATGTGTACTCTCACTTAGTAGGTCTGGGGTGTGTTGGATAGGATAACCAAGAAGCTAAGGTCGTTCGATTCGATTCGTACTAATTTTCCTCTTTTGCATCTTGTGTGTCAACCCCATGCCACGTGGCACAGTGGTACTGGCTGCGGGACGACCTGTGCCGCATCGACCGCAAGAAGACCCCGTGGGTGGTGGCGTTCATGCACGTGCCTCTCTACAACAGCAACGACGGGCACTACCTGGAGGTGAGGCTGTAGCTGCTGTGTGTGCTTGTCACAGCTGGATAGGTCGGCTACCCAACCGGTACCTGTGCCACTGTCAAGTGCGTGGGTTGTGGTGTTCATGCATGTGCCTCTCTGCAATAGCAACGACGGGCACTACCTGGAGGTGAGGCTGTAGCTGCTGTGTGTGCTTGTCACAGCTGGATAGGTCGGCTACCCAACCGGTACCTGTGCCACTGTCAAGTGCGTGGGTTGTGGTGTTCATGCATGTGCCTCTCTGCAATAGCAACGACGGGCACTACCTGGAGGTGAGGCTGTAGCTGCTGTGTGTGCTTGTCACAGCTGGATAGGTCGGCTACCCAACCGGTACCTGTGCCACTGTCAAGTGCGTGGGTTGTGGCGTTCATGCATGTGCCTCTCTGCAACAGCAACGACGGGCACTACCTGGAGGTGAGGCTGTAGCTGCTGTGTGTGCTTGTCACAGCTGGATAGGTCGGCTACCCAACCGGTACCTGTGCCACTGTCAAGTGCGTGGGTTGTGGTGTTCATGCATGTGCCTCTCTGCAATAGCAACGACGGGCACTACCTGGAGGTGAGGCTGTAGCTGCTGTGTGTGCTTGTCACAGCTGGATAGGTCGGCTACCCAACCGGTACCTGTGCCACTGTCAAGTGCGTGGGTTGTGGCGTTCATGCATGTGCCTCTCTGCAACAGCAGCGACGGGCACTACTTGGAGGTACGGGGTGTGCCAGGTGCATGTGGTAGTTACATGGAGTGAGTAACCACTTCTTGTGACACTATCAAGTGGGTTGTGGCGTTCATGCATGTGCCTCTCTGCAACAGCAGCGACGGGCACTACCTGGAGGTACGGGTGTGACAGTGGCATGTGAATTTGACAGCTGCATATACCATCTGCAGGGGACAACTGTAGCCAACAGGTGCCTAAAGTGCTGAACTAGCTTCTTGGTTCTGTGTGTGTGTGTGTGTGTGTGTGTGTGTGTGTGTGTGTGTGTGTGTGTGTGTGTGTGTGTGTGTGTGTGTGTGTGTGTGTGTGTGTGAAATTTTGCTGTTCCTGCCGTCTCCCCTGTTCCCCTTTGCCCACCTATATTTTTCTTCTCAGGGCGAGCCTATGCGGTACGAGATAGAAGAGTGGTTGCACGAGGCAGGGGTGGATCTGGTGGCGAGCGGGCACGTGCATGCGCATGAACACATTACCCCATGCATGGCAGATGGTCAAGCAAGCTGCATCATGTCCCATGCATGCCCGTTCCGCCCTTTCACCACCTCAGGGTGAGCCAATGCGGTACGAGATAGAAGAGTGGTTGCACGGGGCAGGGGTGGATCTGGTGGCGAGCGGCCACGTGCATGCATACGAGCGCAGCTACCCCGTGTACGGGATGAAGCGCATGGAGAACGGGTGTGCCGCCGTGCATGTGACAGTTGGAGACGGAGGCAACATTGAAGAGATCGCCGGCCCGTGAGTGCTCTTTGTTATGCTACAAGCACAGTTGCGCTGTCTATCATGGCATGAAGAGGATGGAGAATGGGTGTGCCGCCGTGCATGTGATGGTGGGAGACGGAGGCAACATTGAAGAGATCGCCGGCCCGTGAGTGCTCTTTGTTATGCTACAAGCACAGTTGCGCTGTCTATCATGGCATGAAGAGGATGGAGAATGGGTGTGCTGCCGTGCATGTGACCGTGGGGGATGGTGGCAACATTGAAGAGATCGCTGGCCTGTGAGTGCTCTTGCTCTCCGTTACTATCAGCTTCTTTACTGGATCTGGGGTGGATGTGGTGGGGTGTTTTGAGGTGCCACAGAAGCTCCGTAACGGGCGGATCTGGTGGCGAGTGGGCACGTGCATGTGTGCGAGCGCAGCTACCCCGTGTATGGCATGAGGAGACTTTTCAAGTGAATTTTGAGAATTCTCAAAAGTGAGTCAACCAGACCCCTCTGACACCCCTCGTGTGAGGAGCACATTCTTTAAGTGCCGTTTTTTTTGTTTTGTTTTGTTTTGTTTTTTTTTTTTTTGGTCCTGTGCAGTTTCCTTGAGCCGCAGCCGTCGTACAGCGCGTATCGTGAGGAGTCGTTTGGGCATGCTGAGCTGGTGTTTAACGACAATCACACTGCCACCTACAGCTGGTGTGTTCCCTTTGTTGCCCCGAGATCTTCTGTTCTCCAACGACTAAGGATCTGCTTTTTCAAAATTCTCAAAGAAATCCTGTTCTCCTTAGTCGACTAAGGATCAACTCTGATATCATTCGACAAAGGGAACAAAAGTTAGTGTTTTCTCTTTCTTCTTTCTCTTTCTCTTTCTGTTCATTTCCTTTGTGCTGCTATGGCTATTTTTGTTGCTCCACGTGCGCAGGTACCGCAACCACCAGGGATCGGGCGTGCTCGCGGATTCCTTCACGCTTCTCAATCGCGCCAACAGCTGCGGCGGCCTTCGCCGCCCGTCCTTCTGCTCCTCCTAGTCTAGGACTAGAAAGTACGGGGATAGAAGCAGTGTGGTGTAGGCGAAAAATCTGACGACTTTTGAGTCTCAAAAGTCTATCCCCGACTCAAAAGTCTCCTAGCCTGGGACTAGAAAGTATGGGGATACCGTAGAAACAGTGTGGTGTAGACGAACAATCCGACTCCAGTTTGGTGTGCTAGCTGATTCCTTCACTCTTCTTACCTTCGTGCCAACAGCTGCGGCAGCCTCAGCCGCCCTCCCGCCTGCTCCTACCAGCTCGAGGTGACTGTTTAGTCGACTCGAGAATCCGTTTTTTTTTTTTTTTTTTTTTTTTTTCTGAATACGAAATGTGGAGATATAAACAGAAAGAGGGAGTTCTCCAGAGGGCCGTTCCACCGCCCGCCCTTGTGTTACTCCAGCCTGGGAAAAAAGTTATTTGGGAATAAAAACAGTTTGCTACTTTCCCCCCCCTTAACCGTATCCTTTTTTTCCCCTTAGGACCCCTTTCCGCCGCCCTCGCCACGCCACTCTACCCTTCCCTAGTGTTGCCTTAGCCCCTTCACTAGCTCGTTTAGTAGACCACCCCTTCTGCCCTATCGTACCCTAGAACCTGATGGGATGAAACGCGCAGTACGCTGCTGGCAAGTCACATTTGGGCTTTTATTGAAAGAGAAGGTTAGTGTTACATTCCGAATGTAAATGATACAAGGCCTGAGTAAAGCCTTCCGTTTGTGCTGCGCAGTTCATCAATAAGCCTGTTCCAATTCGATCCCAGGGACCCAATAAAATAGTCACATTCTGCAGTAATGAGCAGATTGGCGAAAATGTTTGCTATTGGTTGCTGGGCATTTTCCTGCTCGTTTTTCATTTGCTGCGCACTCTGCACTCTAGAGGCGTTGGTGTAGAAAAACGTCCAGCCAGGATAATCGCCGGTCTCGTCGATTACAGACTGCGAATGGGGAGGAGCAGCGCGTCAGGGGGGAAGAAGGATGTTGGCGGGAAGAAAACATTTTGGAGGTTGTTCAATTTTAGTTATAGAAAATAAAGAAGAGACAATCACTTGGATTTTTTTCCAAGTTTTCCCCTCCCTTCCTCTCACCTGCACTTCAGTGCTCAGCCAAACGTGCTTCAGATCCGGCTGGTGCTCTCTCTCTCAGGCACCCACGAGCAGAAACGCTGGCAATGGGTGGAAGCTCACACACCTCCCTCTTTTCCCTCTCTCACCCATGTTACCTCGCTCTCTCCCTCCTCTCCTCACCTGCACTTCCTCCCCTTCCCCTCCTCTCACCTGCACTTCAGTGCTCAGCCAAACGTGCTTCAGGTCGGGTCGGTGCGCTCTCAGCCGGGCAGCCACAAGCAGAAACGCTGGCAGCGGGTGAAGCTCCATCTCAGGCCCTTTGTCTCTCAGCCGCACATGCATTTGCATCCCTGACTCCTCACCTGCACTTCTGTGCTCAGCCAAACGTGCTTCAAGTCCGGCCGGTGAGCTCTCAGCCGGGCAGCCACGAGCATGAACGCCGGCAGCGGGTGAAGCTCCATCTCGGACCCTTTGTCACTCAGCCGCACATGCACGCTCACCACTGGCCGCACCATCTGCACCTCCCCCCCCACACCCGTGTCCGCACTTCCCCCCTCCCTCGTCTGCCCACTTTCCATGCCTGAGCATCCAGTAACCCCTTTCATTGGCCAGATATGCGACTGCAACGACTGTACACGTGTCGCGCTGCCATTAGCTGCAAGGATCTCCCTCCCTGTTTCCCGTGCCTTGGCTGCAACCAGGAGCAGCAGATCGTCCAGCGGATCTCCTATTTCTGCTGTTGAGCTGGCAGCTGACGTGGCCGCTGAGCTGGCATCTGACGTGGCTGCTGAGCTGGCACCCGAGGTGGCGTTCAGCGATTCGATGATGCTCGCCTGCTGGGCAGCGACTGCTGCCACACGATCGGCCATGAGGCGGCCGTAGCTGACGTGGCGGACGTGGTTGATGACGTGGCAGAGATGAGCAGACGGCCAGCGGAGCAAGAAACGGGCGGCTTGAGCTCGCCACCACCGAGCCTGGTGGGGGGAAAGAGGCGGCGGAGAGGCGGGGTGGGGGGAGAGAGGCGGGGGGGGGGGGGAGAGAGGCGGGGAGGGGAAGGGCAGAGGGTTGGGGGGGGAGGAGAGAGAGAGGATGCGGAAATACAACTTCCGGGGCGCATCAGGATTAACCGATCTCTCATCATGCAGTGATGCGCCTTCCATCATGCAGTGATGCGCATACCATCATGCAGTGATGTTGACAGCCTCAATGTAACACATACCATCATGCAGTGATGTTGGTAGTCTATTTGTAACACATACCATCATGCAGTAATGCACACACCATCATCCACCCACCACCATCATGCACACACCATCATCCACCCACCATCATGCACACACCATCATCCACCCACCATCATGCACATACCATCATCCAGTCTGGATACATGCTCGAGATGGAGTTTTGCTGTTTAACGGTGTAAGGCCGCTTATGAGACGCCTCAAAATTAATGTACACACCATCACCCTCTACCCACCATCATCCAGTCCGGGTACATGCTCGGGATGGAGTTTTGCTGTTGAACAGTGTAAGCCCGATCCAGCCATGGTTTGCCCAGTTGCCTGCCATGGGGGTATATATTGTTACCATCATCCGCACCCCATAATGCATTTTTGAGGCGCCTAAAAAATTACCATCATCCACACCCCATAATGCACATACGATCAAGGACAGAACCAACGTAACCGTTATGGGGAACACAAACGAAGGAAATCCACATCGCAACAACATTGTTTTGAAAGCTTTGTGGCTTTGATTGCCTGCAAGTCCTCTCGTCTCTTATGAGACATTTAATATACCGATTCAACGTTTCTACTCTGCAGTACGACAGTTTGGCAGCATCAACGTCCCCATAGGGAAATGAGGTGACTTTTGAGTTGCCTGTACAGTAATCTCTCTCACTCATCTCTTCCACCAATCTCTCCCACTCACAGTTTGGCAGCATCAACGTCCCCATAGAGCGATGAGAGTGCGAGGTAGACCACCTGCATGGCATGGGATGAGCAGGAATGGCATGCCATGGCATGGCATGGCATGGAAAGGAGCGGCATGGAATCAGTGCTTGGCAGCATGAACGTCCCCATAGAGGGATGAGAGTGCGAGGTAGACCACCTGCATGGCATGGCATGGCGGCGCGGCACGACATAGCAAGACATGGAAACGAATGGCAAGACATGGAAACGAATGGCAAGACATGGAAACGAATGGCAAGACATGGAAACGAATGGCAAGACATGGCACGAAATGAAATAGCATGGCACGCCATGGCATGGCATGGCATGGCATGTCCTCTCACGTCCTCCCCATGGATATCCACTGCTTCAATACACCCATTCGACTTGCTTAGTAGCGCACAAATAACAAATCAAGCACGTAGCAATCAACCAGTAACCCCAACCGGAAAAAAAACAAAAACAAAAACAAAAACAAAAACAAAAAAAACAAACAAACAAAGCACAAAACAAAATCACCTGTGTGTCGCCAGCCAGCATGCTCTCTCGCACGTCATCACCACGGATATCCGGAGCCTCGCCCCTCTCATACACTTCCATGGCCGCATGCACACATGCAGGGGCTTCTGAGAACGCTCACAAGAACCCCACACAAGAACCCCACACAAGAACCCCACACAAGAACCCCACACAAGAACCCCACACAAGAACCCCACACAAGAACCCCACACAAGAACCCCACACAAGAACCCCACACAAGAACCCCACACAAGGACCCCACACAAGAACCCCACACAAGAACCCCACACAAGAATCCCACACAAGGCCCCCACTCACCTGTGTGTCGCCAGCCAGCATGCTCTCTCGCACGTCATCCCCTCGAATATCCGGAGCCTCCCCCCTCTCATGTGCTGCCATGGCCTCTTGCACACATGCAGGGGAGGCGATGGGAAAGAAGTAGCACTCCCACTGCTGCGCCTGGCGCAGGTCTTCGGGGGGTTGGGGGAGGGGGGAAGTGGGGAAGTGGGATGGGGGAGGTGGGATGCAGGAGGAAGGGTGGAGATACAGGAAGATGGGGAAGTAGCACTCCCACTGCTGCGCCTGGCACAGGTCTTTGGGGGGTTGGGGGAGGGGGGAAGTGGGGAAGTGGGATGGGGGAGGTGGGATGCGGGAGGAAGGGTGGAGATACAGGAAGATGGGGAAGTAGCACTCCCACTGCTGCGCGTGGGAGAGAGGAGGTCTTGGGGGGGTGGGGGGGAGAGAGGAGGGGGAAGGAAGGGGGTGAAGATTTTGGGGTTGGGGGAACGTTGTGTGTACGGTGTGCTCATGGGTGACTTTTGAGGCGCCTCAAAAGTCGATTTTGGGGTTGGGGGAACGTTGTGTGTACGGTGTGCTCAAGGGTGTGTGAACTTCCGAGGGAGGTGGTGTGGTGTGTCCAGGGCAGTCCCATTCCTTCATACTCGCTCCCAGCGCGTTCAAGGGTTCAAGGGAGGGGGTGAAGATTTTGGGGTTGGGGGAACGTTGTGTGTACGTCCGAGGGAGGTGGTGTGTCCGGGGCAGTCCCATTCCTTCATACTCGCTCCCAGCGCGTTCAAGGGTGCATGGAATTAACACGAGAGTGCGGTTGGTGCGCATGGCAATGCTCAGATACGCCCCCACCACATGGATCATGCTGCCCATCCCATGGTGCAGCCCGGGCCTCTACCCCTCCCACTGCTGGTGCATGCATGAGGGACGGGCGTGCGGGGTGCAGGGCAGGGTGCAGGGCGGGGTGCAGGGCGGGGTGCAGGGCGGGGTGCAGGGCGGGGTGCAGGGCGGGGTGCAGGGCGGGGTGCAGGGCGGGGTGCAGGGCGGTGTGCAGGGCGGTGTGCAGGGCGGTGTGCAGGGCGGTGTGCAGGGCGGTGTGCAGGGCGGTGTGCAGGGCGGGGTGCAGGGCGGGGTGCAGGTCGGGGTGCAGGGGGGTATCCCATCTTCCCACCCACCTTCACACTCGCGCCCAGCTCGCTTAAAGGTGCCTGGCATGAGCACTAGAGTGCGGTTGTTGCGCATGGCAATGCTCAGATACGCCCCCACCACATGCACCATGCTCCCCATCCCATGGTGCTCCATGCTGCCCCCACCTGCCCCAGTCTGCTACTCACCTTCACACTCGCGCCCAGCCCTTTCAAAGGTGCCTGGCATGAGCACGAGTGTTCGATTGCTGCGCATGGCAATGCTCAGATACGCCCCCACCACATGCACCATGCTCCCCATCCCATGGTGCAGCCCGGGCCACCGCGACAGCATCAGCCGCCGCCCGGTACAGCTGGCGGGGAACTGGTGCCGCCACATGTCGCGCTGCACGCCACGTGTCATCGCGAGATTGGCTGCATCAGAGCCTCGTACCTGGATACGGAGGGAGGGTTGAGTGGGTGAAGGATTTTGAGTCGATTCAAAAATCGCCTCTTGGGTGCTGGGGAAAGCAGAGTGACGAACGGGTGGAGGTGAGAGAAAGAAAGAGTTTCTGAGAATTCTCAAAAACTCCCTGCAATTTTCAAAAATCGCCTCTTGGGTGTTGGGGAAACAAAGGGACGAACGGGTGGAGGTGAGAGAAATGGGAGGAACGGGCGAGGATGGTGGTGCAGGTTGAAAGGGTCTAGTTTTGAGGCGCCTCAAAACTTGGGGTCTAGTTTTTAGGCGCCTCAAAACTATGGTGGTGCAGGTTGGAGGGGGAGGGGGAAGGGAGCAGGGGAGGGTAGGCGGAAGGGAGGTGACTTTTGAGTCGATTAAAAAGTCACCTGAGGGACGAACGGGTGGAGGTGAGAGAAAGAGGAGGAACGGGCGAGGATGGTGGTGCAGGTTGGAGGGGGAGGGGGGAAGGGAGCAGGGGAGGGCAGGCGGAAGGGAACTGGTGGAAGGGAACTGGCGGAAGGGAGCTGGCGGAAGGGAACTGGCGGAAGGGAGCAGGCGGAAGGTAGCAGGCGGAAGGGAGCACCCACCCATCCATGCATGCACCCACCCATGCATGCATGCACCCACCTATGCATGCATGCACCCACCCATGCATGCATGCATCCACCCATCCATGCATGCACCCACCCATCCATGCATGCATCCACTCCACCCACCCATGCATGCACCCACCCACCCATGCATGAATGCACCCACCCACCCATGCATGAATGCACCCACCCACCCATGCATGCACCCACCCACCCATGCATGCACCATTCCCCCACCCACTCACCCAGGGTGGCTGGGGGCCGCACTTACAACACCCCTTCCCATCATCCCCGCTTCCCCCGCTTCCCCCACTCTCGCCCTTGCCCCCATTTCCCGCATCCCCCCCGCTGCCTCCGCAGCACTCCCCAGGCTCCCCGCGCGCCCATGCAGGGAGGCTTCCGTCCTCCCCGCTCTCTTCCGCCGCCTGGCGCGCAGCGGTGCGCGCGGAGCAGTCTTCGAGGTGGGGCGGAAGGGGAACGTTGGGGGGAAGGACGAGCGGCGAAGGGGGGAGGAGGGTGGAGGCATTCTCGAGGCCGTACGCCTGTGACCATGTCTGGTGGTGATTATAACGGAAGGGAAGGGAAAGCCATGAAAAAATGTTAGGTTCAGAATGGCAAGTCAGTCGCTCACACTGAGTGAAGTGAAGACTTTGATAGTTGACTTAACCAAGACACTCACGTTGAATAGCGCCTGGGATTTGGTTTCGTGTTCCTGACTGGCGAACGGGTTACCAGCTTCGGCGACGGTCGCTAAGTGCGCTAGCGGTAGCAGCATCAGCCACGTCAGCCAGGACATTGCGTCTGGGGGCGCACGTGTGTGCCGTCTGCACGCATGTGTGAAGGTTTGGTACTGTATCACGCAAATCAATACAATCGTAAGTCTGCAGTTTCGTTTTAACTTATTTACTTTTGAGAATCAACCAACACCTTTAGCGGGTACGCTAGCAGTGAAGTTTCGGTGAGCAGTGTATCAAATCACATCGCGATACCTTACACGCGGAGAGCCATTCAGTGCGATACAGTACGTTTCGATGCGTTCTACACGTACCATGTTTCAAGGGGCGTCACGGTTGAGCGAAACGGCCCTGCACCACCGAAACATGTCGTTGGTTGGTTGCGAAAATTTGGGCTGTCGTAGATTCAGCATTGTGCGACTTTCACCACTCTGCCAGGGCGACAGACAAGCACCTTTTGCAATTGTGCCTTGCCCTCTGGATGGTCCTGGCAGTTACTGTACAAAGAAAATCTGGTTCGCTGTTCCAGCATGCTGCATTAATTTTGTTAGGGAGCATGCTGGAAATGGGCTGTACAGCCGTCATAAACAGCCCATTTACTGTAGCGAGTCTTATTTTACTGTTTTGATGTTAGCGCACAGGTCTTTGGCAACAGCACCACAATCATCGGTTGGGGGGGGCTGTCTGTCTTCGCACAAGAAGTTCAACAAATCACTGCCGTAGATTCATGTACCGGACGCAGTGTGCAATCTTTGCTGTGTTGCTTCCAGGAGGATCTAGAACTCGTCGGGTCGCTGCTGCAGCATCCGTCAGATTCATGCGCCCTCAAATCTATCCTCCATCTTTTCTCACCGACAAATACGTGGTCCTCAGACCTGCACAGCTGTCATATTATGTCGCGAGTGCTGGTTACCCGCATCGCCTTAGTCGCCCGAATCTCATCCCATCACGTGTGGTACGCTGGAGGAATGACCAGTTTTACAGCACAGCAGCGAACAGCGAACCAACGCCATGGTCAAATCTAGGGTTTCCTTTCCGATCCAACACCCAGCTTTTGTCTCTGCTGCATGCCTTTCTCGGCAACAGGCATTCCTTCCAGCTTCCGAGAGAAAATGACACCTGGAGCCCGCTCGTGACATTGTGGTTGACATCAACTTTACATCGTCAAAGAGCTTGCCTAAACGTACGGTCAGCCTATCTCGATGGCGTTTTCCTTATCTCTAGCTTGGCTTGGCCGCTTACGGAAATCCGTACCGAAGTTGTTGGCGTTGGAGGCTGTTTGTCACAGGGCAAGCCCAGTAAACCCTTAGGAATAACTTCGTGTAGATGAGTAAACTGAATTAGGTGAAGGACGTAACCGTTATCAAGTCATTGGAGTTCCTCGAATCGTCGTATGTGTCTATCTCGCCTTCGTGCGATCGCCGATCCGATCTCTCAATCCATCTCCAGGGCGTTCCACTTTACTAGCAAAATCATGTTTCTGTTCATGTAGTTTAGGGTCGAGCGGTTGCTCTTACAAAACTTTGTTTTCTTTTGGTTTATTTAGCTAACTTTAATAGTCCTCTCAGCAATGGAGGTAACCAGCAAAGCCGCGCGGGAAGGATCCCGCGCGGGCGGGGGAGGCGAGGCCTCCAGTCGGCGCAACGGTGGGGAAAGAGAGGGCCGCGGATCGATGAGCGGAACAAAGCGGGAGCGCGGCGGGGGCGCGTGGGGCGCGGAGAGCAGCGGTCCCGCCGGGCGCAGTGGAGCCGGCGGAGCGGGGGGAGCCGGGGGGAGTTCCGCGGGGGCGGGCGCGGAGAAGAAGGTGAAGGTGATGCAGCGCGGGCACGGCATTGCGCACCTGGAAAAGCTCCGCCTGCAGGAATTGCGCAACGCGGAACTAGAGCGGTCGCAGCAGCAACAGCAACAACAGCAGCAGCAGCAACAGCAGCAGCTGCGACAGCTTCAGCAACAGGACCCCTCAAGCCTCCTAACCTCTTCCACGGCCCTCCAAGCCCTAGGCCTCGGCGGACTCTTCCCCTTACCTCCCCCCGTCGCTTCCTCCTCTCTCGCGTCGCTCTCCGCCCCTCTGGGGCCGCTTTCTGACAACCTCGCGACAGCTGCGGCGGCGGCGGCGGCAGCGGCCGCCGCGTCCGATCCGCTATTAAGTATCGCTGCTAGAAGGCAGCTATCGCTACTTGCCGCGTCGCGATCGTTATCCAGCGATTTCGCGGATCGAATGCGCGTGGGGGGAGATCGATCTGTGGTAGGCGGAGGGAGCGGGGCGGGCGGAAGCTTGGGCGGGCTGGGCGCAGCGCTTGGGGGCCTGAGCGGAACGACGGGGAGCAGTCCGGGCGGACACGAGCGGGTTCCGCTCGACGTGGTGATGGCAGCTTCGGCAGGCGCAGCTTTGGGTAGAGAAGGATTCCACAGGCTCGGCGGAGGCTTGGGCGGAGGTTTGGGCGGTGGCTTGTTTGGTGCGGGTGGATTAGGGCTTGGCGGGGGGTTGGGCGGAGGGCTGGGGGCTGGCGCAGCGGGGACGCGGGGAGGGACCGCGAGCGAAGGAGGCGCGGGGTTCGGGAGTATCTTTGGGGGGGGGTTGAGGGGGGCGGCGGTGGCGGCGGCCGCGGCAGCTGCGCACGCAGCGAGTACGGGAAGGGCCGGCACTGGCGGAGCGATGCAGTCGCTTAGCGAGTTCGCCATCCGGCGGCTTCAGATCCTGGTGAGCGGAGTGATGCTGAAAGCCGTTGGTTTTGCATAAAATAGTCCGGCTCTGAGGCTCTTAAAAACTTGAACCCGACAGGTTCAGATCCTGGTGAGTGGAGTGACGCTTGGAGCCATGGAACATCTTTTCTTTCCTTTTCCCAAAGGATGCTTTATTATTTTTCTTTTTTTCTTCTTTTGTTTGCTTGCTTACGTGTTTTTCGTTTCATTTTTATTTCCTGCGGGCTGCCTTTTTTTTATTTTCTGGGCGCGGTCCCGGCCCTCCCCTCCGTAGAACGACTTACGGCAGGTGGAATCAGCAGGCGGGGGATCGAATCTCGACGTTGGCGCGTTTGGCGGCGCAGGGGGGCCGGGGGGCGGGAGTGTGGCGATCGGCGCGGGGTACAACTCGTGGGAGGTCGACAGCAGCTCGCGCACCCCAGGGTCCCGCGGAACAGCCCTGGACGCAGCGCTAGGCGCAGCGCCGGGGGGAGCGTCAGGGGGAACGCCAGGGGGAATGTTCGGGGGAACGTTAGGATCGGCCGCAGGGGGGGGTCTTGCTGGGGCGGCTTCTTCCCGCGGGCTGTCTAATCTCGCATCAGGCGCGCGCGCAGGCGGGGGAAGCGCGGAGATGAGCGCTGGCGGGGCCGTCGGAAGCGGAATGGGCGCTGGGGGCGCGGCTATAAGCTCTGGGGGAGGCGGTAGCCCGGGGGGAAGCTCGCTTTCCGCGCATCTGCCCAGCGCCGTGCCTCTTTCTGCCACTGGCGCGGGGCTGGGGCCTTCTGGTTTGCGCCACAGCAGCTATGGGGGGGATGGGGGAACTGAGGGGTCACCCTTTGGGGGAGGCAGAGGCGGAGGCGGGGGCGGAGGGGGAGGCGGAGGGGGAGGGGGGATGGGCGGCGGAAGGAATCTTGAGGAGGAAAGCGGGAAAAAGGGTTTTTTGGGGGGATTTGACCAGAGGCGGGGTAGTGGGGGGAATGATGCTAGTGGGGAGCGACTGGGGGCGGGAGAGGGCGGAAGGGGCGCAATGTTTGGGCTAGGGGCGGGCAGGAGGGAGGAGGAGAAGGTGGGCAGAGAAAGGGCTTTCCCAGTGCATCACACACACCCGTTCATGCAGTAAGTTGTTACTACCGTACCGTACCGTACTGTACTGTACCGCACTGTTCCCTAGCCTTGCGTCAGATTCAGCACCTTCACCCTTGCTTTTGATGGCACCAGCACCACACACACCCATTCATGCTGTAATCTCACGCATCATTCTCTCAACATATATCCTGTTTTGAGGCGCCTCAAAACTAGACTTCTCTGAACATATATCCTGTCTTCCCCTCCATCCCGATTCCCCCTCCCCGCCCTCCCTCCCCTTCCCCCTCTTCCTTCCTTTCTGCCCCCTCCCAAATATTTTTCTGCGGTCCCGTTCCTTCCCGCAGTAGCTCCCGAACCGTGTCCGAGCCTGTGAGTGGAGCCTCGGCATCGCTCATCGCGTCCCTCTCCTCGCGAATCCTTGCCGAAGCTCACATGCGCGAGGCTGCAGCGGCAGGAGCGGCGGGAGGAATGGGAGGAGCAGGGGCAGGAGGAATAGGAGGAGCAGGAGGAGGAGCAGGGGCAGCAGGAGTGGCAGGAGCACCAGGGGCAGCAGGTATCACCTATGCTAACTCCCCAGCAGCTGCTGCAGCGGCAGCAGCCGCCGCAGCAGCGCATCTGAATCACCTAAACGCGGCAGCAGCAGCATCGGCAGCAACAGCAGCAGCGGCAACAGCAGCGGCAACTGCAGCGGCAACTGCAGCAGCAACAGCAGCAGCGCACTTTGGAAATTTGGCAGACCTAGACCCAACAGCAGCAGCAGCTGCTGCAGCAGCGGCGGCAGCAGCGGCGGCAGCAGCAGCAACCACAGCGCAACAACCCCCCAACCCTTCCTCCTCCCCCTCCCCAGGACAGGCGCTTTCCCCATTTCCTTCCCCAGCCTCCCCATTCTCCCCTGCCTCTTTAGCCGATTCTCTCCTTTTGAACCGTCTCAAGGCGGAGTCTCATTTGAGAGACTTGGCAGCAAGAGATTCGAAAGCGGCGGATTCGGCTCGCAGAGACGTGAAGGCGGATGATTTGGGTCCAAGAGACGTGAAAACGGCGAGCATGGAGGAACAGTTACAAGGTTTGAAAGCGGCTCAAGAAGCAAGAGCATCGCAAGAGGCGAAAGCAGCACACCTGGCTTTTAGGCTGCAGTTAGAGGGGCGTCTGGGACCACAGGAGGCAGCACGGCAGCTGGATGCGTTTTCTGAGGCGCCACAGCAAAGCCAAAACGTGTTTTCTGAGCCCAGAGGAACGGATTTGGCGCCTTTTGAGGCTCCCAGAGGAACGGATTTGTCGCTGATTCTTGAGTCGGCGCGAAAAGCGGCGCAGGAGTCGAAAGCTGCGGGTTTGGCTTTAAGGCTGCAGCTAGAGGGGAGGCTGGGACCGCAGGAGGCAGCACGGCAGCTGGAAGCGGCTAGGCTAGCCGCTGCTGGGGTTTTGGGGGGGGTGGGAGCAGGGGTAGGGGGGAGAGGCGGGGAGGTAGGCGCAGGGGTAGGCGCAGGGGGAGGGGGAGGGGGAGGGGGAGGGGGAAGCGCGGGGTCAGGCGCGGGGAGAGGGGGATTGGAGGAAGCTGGAGCAGGAATGGGAGCAGGTGTTGGGAAAGGGGGAGGATTAGGGCTGGGGATTGGAGGTGGGGAGATGGGTGCAGGAGGGAGAGAGGGAGGTGGGTCCGTGCAGAAGGGGGAGAAGGAGAATCACATGTTTGGAACGGTTTTTGAGGCGCCTGAGAAGAATAGGTCGTTTGAAGCTGCTTCAAAGGCTGGTGGTGCTGGTGGGGATATATCAGGAGGGCGAGGTGGAGAGGGGTTTGGAAAGCAGGGGGAGGGAAGCATGGGTCGGAAAGTGGCTGAGCAGGGAGAGTGGTTTGGAAAGCAGGGGGGGTCTAGACTGACGGAGGGTGGGGAGAAGAGACGGAAGGAGGAGGGGGTGGATGAGGAAGAAGGGGGATGGAAGGGACGTGAGGGTATGGCAAAGAGGGGAAGGAGAGAGGAGGTGACAGAGGAGGTGAGGGGTGTGGGGGATGAGGGGAGGAGGACGAGAGGAGTGGGAGGTGTGGGAGGGATGGGGGAGGGGCAAGGGCAGGGGGTGCAGGTTCCGGCGAATTTCTTCCTGAATAGGTGGGCTTCGGTGGGGAGGAGTAAGGAGTTGGAATTGGCAGCAGGGGGTTCGGTAGGTGCACCTGAAGCAGCACCAGCAGCAGCAGCAGCAGCAGCGGCAGCAGTATCTCCAGCACGGAAAACAGCAGCATCAGTGGCAGCAGCAGCCGGTGCTCCAGCCGGTGCCGCTACAGCTGGTGCCGCTACAGCCGCTGGTGCTACAGGCGTAAATGCTTCAGCTGCTGGCTCTGGTAATGCAGGCGTGGAGACTAAGTGGTCGAGTTTTGAGACGTCTCAGAACGCTACAGGCGTCAATGCTACAGCTGCTGGCGCTGATAATGCAGGCGTGGAGACTAAGTGGTGGCGGCAAGTGAATCTTAACCTGGAAGAGGCAGGTGCAATGAGGAGCAGTGATCGGGTGGTGCTTAGGGACGAAGCTGGGTTAAGTGGCAGTGGTGTCGGCAGCGTGGGAGGCGTTGGGTCGACTGGTGGTGCTACAGATGGTGCTGGTGATGCTACAGATGGGGCTGGTGATGCTACAGATGGGGCTGGTGATGCTACAGATGGGGCTGGTGATGCTACAGATGGGGCTGGTGATGCTACAGATGGGGCTGGTGATGCTACAGACGGGGCTGCTACGGGTGGTGGTGCCGGCGAGGCTGGTAGAGGTGCTGCAACAGAAGATGCTACAGCCGGTGCTACAGGTGGTGCTACAGGTGGTTGCGCCGAAACTGGTGAGGCTGCTTCTGTTGGTTTTGGCGGTGGTGTGTTGTACGAGGAGGAGCGGAGGACAGCTGGGAAGGGGAGAGTAGAGAATGAAGAGAAGGGGAGAGCGGAGGAGACAGGGAGAACGGAGGTGAAAGGGAGAGAGGAGGAGAGGATAGGTAAGGAGGGGAGAAGAGTTAAGGAGGAAATGGAGGTGGAAGACTGGAGGACAGGCGGGGAGAGCCGAGCAGTGGAGGAGAAAAGGAGAGCAGCGGATGGGGAGAGGGTAGTGAAAAAGGAGGGAGCAGTGGAGGAGGAGAGGGCAGTTGAAGAGGAGAGAGCGGTAAAGGACTTGAGAAGCAACATGGTTAAGTGCTTGGGGGAGGAAGTGGCTCGACGGGTCTTTGCCGCCATGCAGTCTCAGGAGGAGGAGTGCGGCAGGCAGATTCGCGAGCTGCATGAGTTACATGAGGTGCGGTGCGCGTGCGTGTGCTTGCTTGGGTTGGGTTGGGTGGCTTGGGGGGGGCAGTGGCTGGACGGGTCTTTGCTGCCATGCAGTCTCAGGAGGAGGAGTGCGCTAGGCAGATTCGCAAGCTGCACTGCACCATCTACATGAGGTGCGGTGCACGTGTGTGTGCTTGCTTGGGTTGAGTGGCATAGGCCTTGGGGTGAGTCTATGTCTGAGTCCACTCAAAAATAGACTCGTCTCAGGAAGAGGAGTGCAGCAGGCAGATTCGCGAGCTGCATCGTTTACTTGAGGTGTGTGTACTGCTGTGTGTGTGTGTGTACTGCTGTGTGTGTGTGTGTACTGCTGTGTGTGTGTGTGTACTGCTGTGTGTGTGTGTGTACTGCTGTGTGTGAGTGTGTTTTCTGTAAGTCGAGTTTTGAGTCGACTCAAAACTTGTGTGTGTGTGCTTGCTTCTGAAAAATCTCTAGAGTCACATCGTTTACATGAGGTGTGTGTGTGTGTGTGTGTGTACTGTGTGTGTGTGTGTACTGTGTGTGTGTGCTGTGTGTGTGTACTGTGTGTGTGTACTGTGTGTGTGTGCTTGCTTCTGAGAATTCTCTAGAGTGCGCGTGAGTCACATCATTTACATAGGTGCGCGAGTGTGTGTGCCCCTGTTTTCCTCTCCCCAACGCTCTCCCCCCTTTCCCCCCTTCCCCACCCCCTTTCCTCCGTCTTCTATGTCCACAGAAGCAGCGGCAGCTCCTATCTCAGCTACAGCCGGCAGTATTATCACACATAGGTGTTGTGTCATTGCTTCTGCCCTGCTCCCTTTGCCCCTGTTTCCCTCTTCCCCACTCCCCCCCACACCCCACCCTTCCTCCTCCGTTTCCTATGTCCACAGAAGCAGCGGCAGCGCTCAGGTACAACCGGCAGAGATACTCACGAGACGTAATAATTCTCTCCGTATGAAATCCGCGTGTAGGGAGGTGCATTTTGAGGCGCCTCAAAAGGCAGCGCGCAGAGATACTCACGAGACGTCTCAAAAGCCGGCAGAGATACTCACGAGACGTCTCAAAAGCCGGCAGAGATACTCACGAGACGTCTCAAAAGCCGGCAGAGATACTCACGAGACGTCTCAAAAGCTGGCAGAGATACTCACGAGATGTCTCAAAAGCCGGCAGAGATACTCACGAGACGTCTCAAAAGCCGGCAGAGATACTCACGAGACGTCTCAAAAGCCGGCAGAGATACTCACGAGACGTCTCAAAAGCTGGCAGAGATACTCACGAGACGTCTCAAAAGCCGGCAGAGATACTCACGAGACGTCTCAAAAGCCGGCAGAGATACTCACGAGACGTCTCAAAAGCCGGCAGAGATACTCACGAGACGTCTCAAAAGCCGGCAGAGATACTCACGAGACGTCTCAAAAGCCGGCAGAGATACTCACGAGACGTCTCAAAAGCCGGCAGAGATACTCACGAGACGTCTCAAAAGCCGGCAGAGATACTCACGAGACGTCTCAAAAGCCGGCAGAGATACTCACGAGACGTCTCAAAAGCCGGCAGAGATACTCACGAGACGTCTCAAAAGCCGGCAGAGATACTCACGAGACGTCTCAAAAGCCGGCAGAGATACTCACGAGACGTCTCAAAAGCCGGCAAAGATACTCACGAGACGTCTCAAAAGCCGGCAGAGATACTCACGAGACGTCTCAAAAGCCGGCAGAGATACTCACGAGACGTCTCAAAAGCTGGCAGAGATACTCACGAGACGTCTCAAAAGCCGGCAGAGATACTCACGAGACGTCTCAAAAGCCGGCAGAGATACTCACGAGACGTCTCAAAAGCCGGCAGAGATACTCACGAGACGTCTCAAAAGCCGGCAGAGATACTCACGAGACGTCTCAAAAGCTGGCAGAGATACTCACGAGACGTCTCAAAAGCCGGCAGAGATACTCACGAGACGTCTCAAAAGCCGGCAGAGATACTCACGAGACGTCTCAAAAGCCGGCAGAGATACTCACGAGACGTCTCAAAAGCCGGCAGAGATACTCACGAGACGTCTCAAAAGCCGGCAGAGATACTCACGAGACGTCTCAAAAGCCGGCAGAGATACTCACGAGACGACTCAAAAGCCGGCAGAGATACTCACGAGACGTCTCAAAAGCCGGCAGAGATACTCACGAGACGTCTCAAAAGCCGGCAGAGATACTCACGAGACGTCTCAAAAGCCGGCAGAGATACTCACGAGACGTCTCAAAAGCTGGCAGAGATACTCACGAGACGTCTCAAAAGCCGGCAGAGATACTCACGAGACGTCTCAAAAGCCGGCAGAGATACTCACGAGACGTCTCAAAAGCCGGCAGAGATACTCACGAGACGTCTCAAAAGCTGGCAGAGATACTCACGAGACGTCTCAAAAGCCGGCAGAGATACTCACGAGACGTCTCAAAAGCCGGCAGAGATACTCACGAGACGTCTCAAAAGCCGGCAGAGATACTCACGAGACGTCTCAAAAGCCGGCAGAGATACTCACGAGACGTCTCAAAAGCCGGCAGAGATACTCACGAGACGTCTCAAAAGCCGGCAGAGATACTCACGAGACGTCTCAAAAGCCGGCAGAGATACTCACGAGACGTCTCAAAAGCCGGCAGAGATACTCACGAGACGTCTCAAAAGCCGGCAGAGATACTCACGAGACGTCTCAAAAGCCGGCAGAGATACTCACGAGACGTCTCAAAAGCCGGCAGAGATACTCACGAGACGTCTCAAAAGCCGGCAGAGATACTCACGAGACGTCTCAAAAGCCCCAACCCCCCCTCCTCCGCCCCCTCCCCGTCCCCCTCCTCTCCTTCCGCCCTTCCTTTCATGTCCACAGAAGCAGCGGCAGCTTCTGTCTCAGCTACAGCCGGCAGACATACCACCTCCCTCCTCCACCCCCACCTCATCCCTCCCCTTCCCTGCTGCTGCTCCTCGCTCCACCTCCTCCCTTCCCTCCCTGGCTGCTGCTCCTCCCGCGACCTCTCTCCATATGGGTGGAGGAGAAGCAACAGCAACAGCAACAGCCCCCCCTGCTACTCGCCCTTCCACCCTCTTTCCTACCGTTTCCGCACCTCTTTCCTGCAGCAGACCCACACCCAGTAAGTAATCCCAGTCTTTAGTCCGAGCTCTCTTGTCCCACATTCTTTAGAATTCTCAAAGGTGGTTGAATCTACTTCTGAGAATTCTCCAAGCCTCAACTCCCTATTTGCTCCTTCCTTTCCTCCTCCTCCAAAACCTCCCCTACCTTTCCTCTCCCCTCCTCTCTTCCACCCTCCCTCTCTTGCCTTCCAAGTTCATATTGGGAGTAGCAGCAACCCTAAAGAAATCGCTTCCCCTTGCCTTTCCTCAGCGTTCAACCCGCCTGAGAGTTGGGCTAAGGCCACCTTCTCATCAATCCGTGCTTTCGTCCCACCTGGTCCGTCTGCCCCTTCCATTCCCCCTCCCCTCCACCCTCATCCTCTCTCTCTCTCTCCCCCTTCTTCCCCTTGCCTTTCCTCAGCGTTCAAACCGCCTGAGAGTTGGGCTGGGGCCACCTTCCCATCAATCCGTGCTTTCGTCCTACCTGGTCTGTTTGCCCCTTCCATTCCCCCTCTTCCATCCTCTTCCCCACTCTCTCTATCCCTCGCGCCCTCCCTCCCTCCCTCCTTCCCTCCCTCCCTCCCTCCCTCCCTCCCTCCTCCCTCCCTCCCTCCCTCCCTCCCTCCCTCCCTCCCTCCCTCCCTCCCTCCCTCCCTCCCTCCCTCCCTCCCTCCCTCCCTCCCTCCCTCCCTCCCTCCCTCCCACCCTCTCTCTTCCCCACCCTTCAACCCTCCTGCGAGCTGCGCCCGGACCACCTATGCATCCAACTGCCAACAGTGCTCCGGTCCTAACCCGTCCTTGCGTTCAACTCGCCGGAGAGCTGGCCTCACCGGAGAGCTGCATCTTTTGAGACGTCTCCGCGCCCCCCTTTCTCCTCTCTCAGACTCGCAGCATTCAACCCGCCTGGAAGCGGGGCTCTGGCTGTCTGCATGCACCAGTGCTCTTGTCCGGACCTCCTAACCACTCCACGCTCCACCTCTCTCCGCGCGTCCCTTTTCTCCTCTCGTAAACTTTCAGCGTTCAACCCGCCGGAGAGCAGGGCCCAACACCCCCTCCTCCTCCCACCTCCCCCTCCCTGTCCCCCTCCCCGTCCCCTTCCCCCCGCCTTTAATTCCGCAGCGTTCAACCCGCCGGAGAGCAGGGCCTAACACCCCCCCCTCCCACCTCCTCCTCCCCGTCCCCCTCCCCTCCCTCTTTTATTCCGCAGCCTTCAACCGGCCTGAGAGCTGGGCTCGGGCCGCCTATGCCTGCAACGGTGCTCCGGACCTCCTAACCAGTCGCTCTCTCCCCGCCTCCCTTTCTCCTCTCTTATCCTCTCAGCGTTCAACCCGCCTGAGAGCTGGGCTCGGGCCGCCTATGCCTGCAACGGTGCTCCGGACCTCCTAACCAGTCGCTCTCTCCCCGCCTCCCTTTCTCCTCTCTTATCCTCTCAGCCTTCAACCCGCCTGAGAGCTGGGCTCGGGCCGCCTATGCCTGCAACGGTGCTCCGGACTTGAACGCGGATCCGGAGGCTGATTCCCCAGCAGCAGACGCACCAGCAGACGCGGCAGCAGCAGAAGCACCAGCAGCAGAAGCAGCAGCAGGCATGCCAGCAGGAGTGGCAGCAGCTGCAGCTGTAGCAGGATCAGGAGCAGGAGCAGGAATAGGAGGAGGGGCAGGGTGGCGCATAGGGTTAAGAAACACTGCAGCAGTTGATGCTGATGTGAAACAAACGCCTTCTGAGCTTCATCCTAGCAGCTTCAGAAAGAGGGATCATGTGGATTTCAGTAGACTAGAGAGCTACGGGAGAGGGGAGAGAGGAGAAAGAGATGATCGGGAATCGGAGAGGTGTGGAAAGAAGGGTAGAGGAGGCTTGGATTTCGACCTGGAGTCCGAACCTGCTGCTGAGGCTCGGGCTGATGAGGGTCGGTCAGGGTTTGATCTGGAGGCTGTTCCAACGGCTGAGATCGGCGATGGAGCAGGCAGAGGATCTGGACGGCAGGGGCTGGACTTGGAGCAGGATCCGACGGTTGAGGTTGCTTCGGAGCGAGATCTGCGGATGGGATCGCAAGCAAGTGGTTTGCACTGTTCCACAACCGAACCTGCCAGAGCAGATAGGACGGGAACAGAGCTGGGCTCTGGTTCGGCTGTATCCGAACCTGGCGACCCTAGGTCTGGGACAGGCCTGGGCGCAGGCCTCTGCTTATCAGGGTCCTTTGCAAAACCAGAACATACCTTTGAGGCGCCTCAAAAGTCGGAGATGGGAGCAGGTCTCTGTTTATCAGGATCTATGGCCGAACCAGAAGCTAGTGGTGAAGATGCCGCACGCAGCGCCAGCGCATACCCGCCCCAGTCGCTTCCTTTCAGTTTAGAATCTTCAAAAGCTGCAGCTGAAGCAGATTTAGAAGCAGAAGCAGAAGCTGGAGTGAAAGATCAAGCCACGGCTGAAGCTGAGGGTCTTGCGGCTGGGTCTGAAGACAGGTGTGGTGGTAAGCTTGACCTGGAAGCTGGTTTGTCCAAAGCAGATCCGCCCCAGTCGCTTCCTTTCAGTTCGCTTTCAGAAGCAGGCGCCAAAGCAAAAGTGGAGGGTGTTGCAGCTGGGTCTGAAGACAGGTGTGGTGGTAAGCTTGACCTGGAAGCTAATTTGTCCGGAGCAGACCCGCCCCGATCGCTTCCTTTCAGTTCGAAGCCTTCAAAAGCAGAAGCTGAAGCAAAAGTGGAAACAGAAGCTAATGACGCAGCTGCAGCTGGTTCTGCTGAAGGGTGTGGTGGTAAGCTTGACCTGGAAGCTGATCCATCAAAAGCCGGTGCGCCCCGGTCGCTTCCTTTTAATCCAAAGCCTTTGGATGTAAAAGCCGAAGCTACAGCCGGGGGTACGCTTGACCTGGAAGCTGGTTTGTCCAGAGAAGATCCGGTACAGCTGCTCCCTTCTACTTCGAAGGTCTCAGAAGCTGAAGCCGAAGGAAAGGCTGAACCTGAACCTGCACCTGAACCTGCACCTGAAACTGCACCTGAAATTGCACCTGAGACTGCTCCTGGAATTGCACCTGAAACTGCACCTGAAGCTGAAGAAGCTGGGCCTGCAGAAGGGTGTGGTAAGCCTGAATCTGAGGCGGATCAGATGGGAGCAAATAAGACCTCTGGAGATCCCGCTTCAGCAGATAAGACCTCCCCAGTTACAACCTCTGGGCATAAGACCTCTGGAGATCTGATTTCAACTGATAAGACCTTGCAAGATAATACCTTGGCAGATAAGACTTCGCAAGATAAGGTCTCAACAGATAAGACCTTGGCAGATAAGACCGTGGCAGATAAGACCTTGGCAGATAAGACCTTGGCAGATAAGACCTTGGCAGATGAGACCATGGCAGATGAGACCTTGGCAAATAAGACCTTGGCAGATGAGACCTCGAGAAGTAAGACCTCGGCAGGTAAAACTGTTGGAAATCCGAACACAGAAAATTTATCTCAAGAAAATGTGATTTCGGAAAAAGGGTCTGGAGCGGATCTTGTTGCGGTGGAGAAGGGTGCGGTTGGGTTGGCTGGTGGGAAGGGGAGGCGAGACGTACAAGCTGACCCTGATCTTCTCAAAACAGACCGTCTGGAAAGAAACTCTCCCAAAACAGACCCTCCCAATACAGACTTCCCGAAAACAGACCCTCTCAAAACAGACCCTTCCAATACAGGCTTTCTGGAAACAGACCCTCCCAAAACAGACCCAGACCCGCCAAAAACTGACTCTCTCAAGAGTGAACTTGAAGCTGCTGGTTTGGATGCCCTAGGGGTGGGAAAAAATAAGGGTGCATCGGCTGATGGAAAGGGGAGCATCGAGCAAAAGCTGGATGCAGATTTTCCCAGATTAGATTCTTCCATATCAGATCCTTGTAGATCAGATCCTCCCAGATTAGATTCTTCCAGATCGGATCCAGATGCTCCTGGAGTGGCAAGGGAACATGAGGAGGAGGAGAAAAGGGAGAGAGGAGAAGGGGAGGAGGAGCAGAAGGCGAGAGCGGAGGAGGGGGAATGGGAGGAAGAGAAAAGGGAGACAGAGGACGGTACGAGAGAGAGGGGAGGAGGGGTGCGAGGAAAGGAAGGAGAGGAAAGAGGAGAAGGAAAAGAAGAAGAAGGGTTGCAGCAGCAGGAGAGGGAGGGAACGGACCGTGTTGGAGAGGATAAGGGGAAAGGAAGAGAAGGGGAGCAATGTGAGAAAGGGGATGCAGGAAAGGGAGGGAAAAGGAGAGGCGATGGGGGAGTTGAGGTTTCTGCAGAGGAGGAAGGGGTTACGGTGGCTCGTGTTGACAGGGAAATGGTGGTTGATGTTTGCAATAGTGTGGAGAGAAATACAATGGGTGGTGTTAGGGGTAAAGGGGACATGAAGGAAGGGGAGAACGAGTGGGTTGAGAGAGAGGAGGGGGCGAAAGGGGAGGGGGAGAAAGTGGGAGGGGAGAGAGCAGAAGAGAAAGAGGGAAGGGAGAAAGAGGAAGGGGAGGAAGCAGAGGCGAAGAAAGAGAAAGTGGAAGGAGACGCCGGAGGAGAGGAGGGAGGAGGAGAGATAAAGGAAGGAGCTAAAGCAAAGATCGAGAAAAAGGAGGAAGTAGGGGAGGGAGGAGTGAATATAGGAAAGGGTACCCAAGATAACGTTGAAAATATCAATGAATCGGAAGCGATGAGGCAGGAAGAAGTGATACTGCTGAAGCGGGAGGTTGTATTGGGAGACACAGAATCAAGGCCGAGGGAAAAGGGAGGAGAGACTAAGCTGTGTTGAGGGAATCACGAGAAATTAGCCTGTATTTACCCGGCGAGGAGAAATGCATACTGGGAGCCAGGCCCTCAGATTCACTTTTAGGGATGTTGATGCATCAGGGTCCCTGTGAAAAAAAGCCTGAATTTTCAGGGTTCCTAAAACAATAAGCCTGAATTTTCAAGGTTCCAGAAAACAAAAGCCTGAATTTTCAATCACATCATGTAATTGTGCAAGAGAGTAGACTTTGCGAACATGGAGTAGAGGGATTCGAATCGAAAACCTTATCAATCGGTATCTACTTAGCAAACCACTAAGCCAGTTCATCGAGTCAACGATCAGTATTTTTCACACAAGATTTGATTATGCGGAAATGTTGGTTGACTTATTGTCTCGGGTGTTTTACGGGAAGGATTCGGAATGTACATTCAGTGTACACCAGGGCTTCAGATTCGTTTTGGGCCACCCTTAGTAATCAGGGTTCTAGGTATAGTCAGCCCTGATGCGTAGGGTAAAATTTTGGTTTCCCTGACAAATGCAGGGTAAAAAAACAGTTAGTCTGTTTGGGCAGGGTATTCTTAAAAATTTGTGCCGAAGCACTTATGATCAATGGCTAGTAGTTCAGCATGGTATATCTCAACGCCCCGACTACATCCGGGTGCAAAAACGACGCGGCTCGGGAAAGGGATCCGCCACCCTGCGTCATCCTGTCCGGCTAACTGAGTGCACGTCCTGGGCGAGGAGCGTCACCCTGCGTCACCCGGCAATCCCGATGAAAAATACCCCGATAGCACCTCTCAACGGACCCTCCGTACGAGGTCGACACCTCGACGACGCCGGTCGCGGTCAGCGTGCCACGACGTCCACCTAGCCATTGGCGCGGACTGCGACGTGAGGCCCACCGCGATTTCTGGCCGGCCACTGCGCTGGCGCGCAGAGCCACACGTCGCCCATCCGAAACACAACATTCCACGCGGCGAACATCGATCGGCAAACGTCTGTCCACGCGGCGATCAAGCCTTCGCCGGCGTGCTGGCGGGAACGTCCCCGCGGGATACCATCGTCGGGCGACGCCATGAGCACTGCTGCGTCACGCCGACGTGTAAGCACGGTTCACCGTGACGGGAACACCGGACGGTCGGCTGCGAAAAAGACATGAGTGCCCCGTGCAACGTCGACCATTGCGCCGCCGTGCCGTTCTGCCTTGCATGCAGAGTTGGAGACATGCCCACGGATCGCCCGCCAACACCTGTCCGCCCGAACCGCGACTGTGCCTCTCTATGCTATGACCCCCTGACGGCCAAGTGTCCATGGCATTTCGACACTTGTTTGTTGCGTTGCATTCATTTCCATTCTGGTGAGCCACATTTCCCTTGCTCATTTTCACGCTTCTCGGAGACCGACCGACCACGCGCGGTGCAGGGTCGACGACGAGCCACGCCGGTGTAGAGTGCGTTTAGGTCGGCAAACTTTACGGGCTTCCGACTTAGGATCATTCCGACTAGGACGACTGACTAGGTCGACAACAACCGAAAGTCGCCGACCTCTTTCTTCAAACCCACAACCAGTATTGTCATCGCCGGTGATCCCCCGTGCGGCCTCCAATGGTCAGGGACCAGTCTAACAACATCCCGCCGGACAACACCCCGCCGAACGATACATTGCCACTTCACACCCCGCCGACCATTGTGCCGCCGACCACGGCCACTCCGAACATCACCCAGCAGAACACCAATCCGCCGCCCTTACTTCCCGAAATTCCCGAACTGACCGACATTGCCGCGGAGTTGACGATCGCCGAGAACGTTGAGAGGGCCGAAAGACGGGCGGCCTTTAGGGCCACGGTGCGAAGGCAATACAAGGCAGCGATTGTGCAGTATCGACTTTGGTGGGCTGAGCACGTACCGCAGCGAGATCGCGGCGACAACTAGAGGCCGACGGGAACAACTCTACCCGCCGAGATGGCTGGCGTCGCGCCGCCGGCGGGGAGCAGCGCGATTCCCGACCTGAACGAGCCTTTCATGGAGGAAGATGTACACACCGCTAGGGAAAATATTCCCGCCGACATGGTGGTCGATGTAGATGCCGCTAGGGCAAAAATTCCCGCCGACCCGACCATCCCCCTACCGCCAGGGACGAAAGGGGCTCCCGAACCCGAGCCGGACCGATACTCGCCGCGTTCGGTCACGGAGCAGCCGCCGCCAATTGGACCATTTCCAGAAAACGACTACATGTATCTGACCGTAGAGGACTTGTTGGCAGCCGACGAGAAAGATGACGCCTTCCTGCAAAACATTCCGCGCGACGATTTTGCGGAAGCCGCCTTCGACATCAACAAAGAGCTCGCCAAGAAGAACAGATTGCTGAGGATGATGTGGGGTTTCCGGCATCTCGACACGCTGGAGGCGAGAACGACCCGGATTCAGTACCTGCGGGCGCTGCTCGACTTCAGGAGATGGTGCTGCGCGAACCTTCCAAGACAGCAAACCGCCAGAGTCAAGGGGGACGGCGTGCTGGAACACGAGGACGAGATAGGGAGGTACATTGACGAAGACATGGGTGATCAGTGGCACACCGCCAAGGGCGACCTACAATGGATGCACGGTCCCCGCGTCAACGCCACGCGAATCAGGGCGTACATTCTGTCAATCGCGAGGCAGGAAGGTATTGCAAAGGCCGAGGAGCTCGAGGAGCTGAATCCCGACGTCCGTGTCCAGCCCCTGAAGCCGACAACCGTTTCGATGCTGCTCATCCGCATCAAAGCGCTCCAGACGGCCTGCAAGGTCGAGGGGACGCTCTTCGGGGTGAAGGAGCTCCACATCATGTACGACATCTCCGAGGTCCGCTCGGAGGTGCGCGCGATGGTCAGAGAGAAGTGGCACAGGGACGACAGGTAAGTCGGCATGTCGTCCCGCGCGGTTCACGCCTGTTTCCCGGTTCGCCCAGCTAACCCAGTCCTCGTGGAAACTGATGTGCAGGGATTGCGTCGACCGGCACCGCGGAACGCTCGGCGACACGTACACCACCGACCAGATCCGCCACCTCATGTTCAAGGTCTTGCCGACCTGGGCAGCTCGGGCGTACGAACCCAAGGCGGCCACCCCCTCCCAGACACTGTGGAAGTTTCTGCTGATGAAGACGATGACCCTCTTGGGTCACCACACCCTTCTCCGCGGAGGCAGTCTCCGAGCAATTGAGCTCCCCGACCTGTTTTTGTACAGAATGGGGAACGCGTCGCCCGAGCACTCCACGCGACGGCCGGTTGTCATGGTCGTCGCGTCACGAAACTCCAAGACGAACAAGGATGCTCGTCTGCATCACAGCTACGCGGCGAGACACCTCGAGCAAGAGATGTGCGCCGTCGGTCACACACTGTTGTGGCTGCACTTCGTGTACGACCAGCTGAGCCGCTCGCCCACCTCTCGATGTGTGCCGCCCCTCGACTTCACAACTCCGTACAGCTGGTATCACAAGCACCTCTTTCATGCTCGGAACGACAAGGCACAAAAAGAGCTGCCGGCTTCATCACATTCTCGGATCACGAAAGAGATGTGGCGGACGAACAAGATCTTCATCACGCGCAACACCCACGCCGCCCGGGCGGGTGGGGCACAGGAGCTGGCCGACGACGGCGTTCCGCGATCTGACATCGCCGACTTGGGCCACTGGGCGCTCGACAAGCTCGCGAAGAGCTACATCACGACCATCCCGAAGGCGGCGGTGTTGAGAAAGGCCGGCTACACGGGCAAGCGCGGCGACTACCACCTCGGCCGGAGCATGGTGAAGCCCGACGACAAGGTGGTGGCCCTCATCGCCCAACACATCTTTCCGTGGGCGGAAGCGGAACTGGCCAAGGTGAGCATTTCGGACGGCAAAAACGCCGACAGCCCGCCGACCATTTCCACGACGACATTCTACCGACGGCTGATTGTGTTTGTGTTTGTGTTCGACTCGCAGGCGGTAAGGTGCGCATCCGCGAGAGAGCCCAACACGGCCGGGGTGCACTTCCTGCAATCGCTCATCGAGTTCGGCCGCTGAATCGTTGCCGAGGATCTTGCGTGCATGCTGATGCGCGAACCGTGGCACCCGTACGTCCAGAGTTCCAAGCTCTGCCGCGACCCCGACTTCCAGAAATGGGCCAAGGACGTCAACCGGGTGGACCTCGAAACCATCGCGACGCGCAGTACTCCGAGCGAGAACCCCCAAGAGGTACGGCGTGCGCGTTTCGGCGACCTGTAAAACAAGTCGTCCTGCCACATTGCCTCACCTTTTGCCGACCATCCCCCTTGGATCGCAGGAATTCAGCGCGCGAGTTGACGCCGAATATCAGGTCGACCAGCTCACCATGATGCTGCACCGCCAGAGGGAGGATGCCGCGATCGAGAAGCTTGAAATGCAGAAGAAGTTGGAGGAGAAGGACGCGGAGATCGCGAAGTTGATGAACGCTCTCAAGCTGGCCGAGGCACAGCCGACGCCGACTGCGCCGGCACCGTCAAGGCCAATGACCGCCGCCGAGAAGGCGGCGTCCGTCAAGATCGAGAAGGAACAGAACGATGACCTGACGTACGAGGTCAACGTCGTGCATCCCTGGCGCACATCCAAGACGGTCGAGGCTGCATGGCGCTGGTGGAACAACCCGTCCAACTTCGACTCGCGTCCGTTGCGCGAACGTTACGACGAGCACAGATTCCTCGTCAGACACACGCGCATGATCTGCAAGGTCGAAAAGGGCGACAAACCCGCCGCGTCGGCGAAGTCGGCAAAGAGCTCTCGTCCCACGACCGAGGTGGGTGAGACGGGGAAAAACGATGCGCTGCAGCACTGCGCTCGCCGGATGAGGCGGATCATGGAAGCGGTGCACGACTTGCGGCGGAGCGACGACGCCGCTGACATCGCCGCCGTCATCAAGCTACTCGACAACCTGGGGCGAACGGGGCTTTCCACTTTCAGCGACGCGCTCTTGGTCCTCCGTGCAACCCCGCCCATCAAGGTCCCCACCACAGCCGACGGAAAGTCGGTCGGCACCAAGGGTCTGGACAAGCCGCTGGCGAGGAAGCTCGCCGTTGCGTGGGGCGTGGTCACGGCGGGCTACATGGACGCTGACTGGGGAAAGAGGCTCTTCGGCGACTTGTGGGATGAGCAGGCCAATAAGGCCGGCTTGGAGGCCGAGGCGACGGCGGGAGCCATCGGCGCAGGGAAGCGCAAGAGGGCGGGCTGAGGGTACTGCGTCTGGGTCCGACTTGTGCTGCTGGCTGGGCGTGGTGTGACTGAGGGTGGGTTGAGGGCGGGCCGAGGGCGGGCTGAGGGCGGGCTGAGAGTGGGCTGGGGGTGTGCTGAGCGTGTCCGACCTGTTCTAGTGATCCTATATGGTTTTCTTTTACTGCCAACGTTGTTTCTGTGAAGAAAGGAACGTGAATGAAATGACTATGAATGAAGTGAGTACAAATAGGAAACCCTAGTTGGGTTGTACCCCCTATGGGATACCCCACTATAGCCTACACAAATAAGTAAGCTATAACATTCTGACACACCCCCATAGGCAAAGTGGGGGAGAACAAGGGGTCACAAGACCAGTCAAGCAAAACAAAGCAAAGCTCAGGGTGGATCACAAAGTCACCACACATTCCGAGCACAAGTTCAAGGGCCACAAGGCCAGTTCACATGCAAGACCATATATAGAGATATACAAGAGTCAAGCAAGCAAGAGCAAGAGTATATATAGGTCGAGGTACAAGCAAGGTCAAGAAGTGAGCAAGTGAGGCAAGACAAGCACAAGGCCCAACTGCGTGCAGCAACGCTGATGATCACAAGGCGCTAGCGCCTTGGTGAAGACATCAGCAGTGTTGGCCTCAGAGGCCACGTACGCAAGTCGCAACTGTCCACGCTGCTGTAGCTCACGAGCAAGAAAGTAGCGGAGAGCAATGTGCTTTGTCCTGTGCTCCAGTCGCTGCTCTCGACACAAGGCCAGCATGGCCTTGTTGTCTACGTACAGCACTGGAGGAAAACGAGGCGGCTCTCCAAGGTCGGTCAACAGGTAGGTGAGCCAGCGTAACTCCTGTGCAGCCATAGCCCCGGCGTAGATCTCAGCCTCACAACTGGAGCCGAGAACAGAAGACGAGCGGGTAGCCCGCCACGAAACAGAGCCGGAACCAAGGCTGAAGGTGTAACCCTGTGACGACCGCTGCGTAGCCTGGTCGTCAGCCCAAGAAGCGTCCGCGTGTCCAGTGAGGACCACTGGACTGCGCCCTCCAAGCACTAGCCCCATACCCGACGTACTGCACAAGTAGCGCAACACCCTCTTCGCTGCAGCCATGTGCTCTGGTCGGTGTCTCCCAGGAGCAACATAGCGTGCGAGAATGCTAAGAGGGTATGCAAGGTCAGGTCGTGTGCAGGTCATCAGGTACATGAGGCAGCCAACAAGCTCTGCATACGGGCCACTCGACTCTACGGACTCATCCGAAGGCAGAGCTGAGAGCGAGTGGCGAGTAGGCAGAGGAGTGGCCTGAGGCGAGGAGTACGTGAAGCCGAAGCGCTGAAGGACCTGCTGCACCATGTGTGACTAAGTCAGGGTAATGGTGCGGCGTGCTCTGTCTCGGCTGATCTGCAAGCCAAGGTAGCTGCGCAGTTCACCCAGGTCAGTGCACGTGTGTCTCTTCTGCAGCTCGGACTTCACGTAGGCGAGTCCAGCAGTGTCAGCTGTGGCAAAGACCAAGTCGTCGACGTACACGAGGATGTAGAACGGCGGCAGAGAGGTGTCGGTGCGCAGAAACAGCGACGGGTCGGCAGTAGAAGGAGCAAACCCAAGTGCCGCCAGCGTAGTCCTCAGTGTGTCGTGCCACTCACGTGGCGCCTCGCGGAGACCGTAGACTGGACGCCGGAGACTCCACTGGGTACCAGGAGGGAAAGACCCAGTGAAGCCAGGTGGGCGACGCAGCCAGATCTCCTCGTGCAGGCTGCCCTGCAAGAAAGCTGTGCTGAAGTCGAGAGAGTGCAGCTCGTAGTCACGGTGAGCAGCAACGTGCAGCAGTACCCGAAGAGTGGTCATCTTCGAGGGGGGGGGGGAAGGTCTGAAAGTAGTCAACCCCCTGCCGCTGACTGAAGCCACGAGCCACGTAACGCGCCTTGAAGACAGGCGGAGAACCCGGCGGCCGCTTCACCCTGAAAATCCACATGCCACTGACGATGTTCGCCCCAGGAGGGGGAACAGCGTCGACGTAGGTGCCTGTGGACTTCCAGGAAGCCATCTCTGCATCCATAGCTGCCTGCCACTGAGAGGAGTAGGGACCCTCTATCGCCTCCGCGTAAGAGCGCGGAGTCGGGATGTCTAGTGCATCCGGGTCTCCCTCAGGGGCTAGCAGTACAGACGCGAGATGAGGTGAAGCGGCGGCCAAACACTGGAACTCCTCCTGCCTGTCCTCAAGGACGTCCGTGCCAAGGGCATACTCACCTTCGACGGACGGAGGACAGGCAGACTCAGACTCAGCGACAAGACTAGCAGCGTAGTCTAGACGACAGCGCGCAGCAAAGTTGACGAGCTCAGTGACAAGGGCAGACGCAGCAGAAGACTCGAAAGAAGGGTCAGTGACAGCAGTAGCAAGGAGACGCGTGACAGTAGGACTGGCAGCACGAAGAGAGTCCGACTCCGGGTCGGCAAGAGCAGGAAGAGAGGAAGCAGGAGGAGAAGGCAAAGGGGCACGCAGAGGAGCAGTAGACGGACGCAGAGACATCCGGTGCGTGCCAGGGACAGGAGGAGGACGCTGACGCGAACCGCGACCACTAGCGCGCGCAGTACGAACAGGCGACGCAGGACGAGACGCAGGCTCACGACGCTCAGTAAGACCTCCAGTCGGACCAGCGTAGGGAGAAGGAGCAGGCAAAGGTGAGGCAGGCTGTAGCTGTGACTGTGACGAGACAGGCTGTGGACCCTCTAAGGGAGGAGGAGGAGGACCAGGAGAAGGTGTAAGACCAAGAACCTGCTGCAGGAGCGGAACGAAGTACGGCCGGGGCCGCGCGGCGACGCCAGAAACAGCAGGGACAGCACCAGAACCCCCAGCAGGAGTACCCGCTCCAGCAGCACCTCTAGTAGCTCCAGAACCTTCAGCAGCACCACCAGGAGCACCGCCAGTCGGACCTCCAGCGGCAGTCTCAGCGCCAACACCCTCAGCAGCACCAGCTCCAGGAGAACCCTCAGACCCAGCAGCTCCAGCACCCACAGTACGAGCACCTCCGGGACGCTCGGCAGCAGTACCCTCTGCAGCCGAAGAACCTCCAGTACCAGCAGCACGCCTCCAGCGCCTGGCAAACCACTCACGTAGCTCCTGTGGGGAGAGTGGCTCTCGGCGAGACGGAGCACCTCCAGGCGGAGCACCCCCAGTCTCAGCACCCCTAGGCTCAGCACCCCCAGGCTCAGCACCCCCAGGCTCAGCACCCCCAGGCTCAGCACCCCCAGGCTCAGCACCCCCAGGCTCAGCACCTCCAGACTCCGCACCCCCAGGCTCAGCACCCTCAGGCGTAGCACCTCCAGTCTCAGCACCCCCAGGCTCAGCTCCCGCAGCAGCACCAGAGTCACCAGTGACCTCGACAGGCTCGACCGCGTCTACGTGGGACACATCTGAAGGGGCAGGACCCTGAGGGGGGAGGGGGTCTACCGGGGGGGGACCTGGTACCAAGAAGAGCGGGGGCGGGGGGAGGGACGGAGTGCGGTAGGGGAAGAGGCGGTAGTAGAGTACCGACTCGTCGAACGTGACGTCCTGGGAGGACAGAACACGTCGAGAGGTGGGGTGGTAGAACTGCCACCCAGGGGCGTCGGGGGGGAACCCTAGGAAGACGCAGGGAGCAGCGCGAGGGGACAGCTTGTCCGCAGACAAGTCGCGGACAAACGCCCGAGATCCCCAGACCCGGAACGCCGACGCATCGCCAACCTTCCCCGTCCACAGCAGCGCTGGGGAGGTCTCCGGCCTGGAGACCCTGGGGTGGAGGTTGATCTGATGCGCTGCGTACCTGACCGCAAACGGCCACAGAAAATGGGGGGCAGCCGCATGCCTCATGGACGTACGAGCGACGTCCATGACCATGCCAATGCGGCGCTCTGCAATCCCATTTTGCTGCGGGGAGTCCGGAAGCGTGAAGGTCTGGCGGATGCCTCGAGCACAACAGTAGGCACGCAGAAGGCCAGAGGAGAACTCTCCGCCTCTGTCCGAGTGCAGACGCAACACAGGAAAGTCTGAGCCAAAGCTCTGCCTGAGCTGGAGACGAGCTGCGCGGATCCAGTCGATCAGCACCTCAGTGACATCACCCTTGCTGCGCAAGGGGAAGACTGTGGTGTAACGCGAGTAGTCGTCAACCACCAACAGGAAGTAGCGCTCCTGACCGAGTCCACGGACGCGGGCAGGGCCCCACACGTCCATGTGAAGCGTCTGCAACGGAGCCTCTGTCGGAGGAAACTGGGAGGAGTGAGGGGCAGCACGCTGGCGCCCCTCGACACAGGGGACACAGGCAGGGCCAGGGCCCTGAGGAAGGGGAGGTAGAGACCGGGGGAGACCAGACACAAGAAGACGGGAGGCCATTCCTCTGAGCCGAAGCAGAGAGGGATGGCCAAGGCGGTGGTGCCAGAGGAGAGTCTCGTGAGACAGACGGCGACACGAACAGGGGGCAGACTCAGGACCAGACCTGGACGCTGCAGCAAACACCTGACCAGACGAAGGGACTCTACCAGACTCAGCACCTGGAGGAGAAGCAGTGGTCACTGTGTACAGGCTCGACCCTGGCTGACGTGTAAACGTAGCCAGGTGACGACCCGTGCTAGCCCCTGTGCAGTGCGTCACTCGCTGACTAGCAGGGGTGAAGTGGTGGACTCCCGCATCCTGTAGGTCAGCACCACTCACCAAGTTCGTAGAGAACGAGGGGAGGTAGAGACCAGACAGGGTGCCAGAGGGAGCCGCCGGACACGGGAGGACTGTGGAGAAGCGAGACAGGACAGGACCCCCAGAGGGGTCAGCCAGGGAAACCGCAACCGGCCGACTAAGCGGCGTAAGTGTGGTGCGGTCCCGAAAGAAAGAGCGAGACGCTCCAGAGTCAAGAGTGAAGGTGTGGGAGGCCGAAGCCGACGCAGTACCTGAGAGCGCAGACGCACTAGTACCTGAGAGAGCAGTCTCACGAGCACCTGAGTGCACAGACGCACTGGCACCTAGAGCAGAAGCCTCACCGGCACCTGGAGCAGCAGTACCAATGCCCGGGTCGGGCGGGAAACACCGGTAACAGTCACCCTCCTCACTAATGGTCACAGCATACATGGCAGCAAGGATAGCATCAAAATCAAGATCAAAGATAGCTACACCAGCCCTAGACAGCTCTCCCCAGCGGGGGATCTCCGCGGCCTCCGGGAACTGCTGACGCCAAGCGTCCGTCAGGCGGCCAAAGCAGCGCTGGGCGGGGTGGGCACCCCCACACTGCTCTCCAGTGCGGTCGCCAGTGCGGAGAACGTAGGTGCAGGGACCAAAACCCCCACCGCGCTGACGCTGCGTGTACCACTCACGGAGCTGCTGAGGGGTGGGGACGTCGCGAGAACGCTGCTGCTGCTGCTGGCGCTGACCGCCACCAGTGCCGCTCCGCTGCGAAGCTCCACTCCGACCACCTCCACCTCCGCCACCCCCGCCTCCGCCTCCACCGCCCCCGCCTCCACCTCCACCGCCGCCACCTCCGCCACCTCCGCTACCACCGCCACCGCCGCCGCCACTCCCGCCGCCACTGCGGCCACTAGCACCCCCACCCCCGCTACCACCTCCACCGCCACCCCCACTCCCTCCGCCGCCTCCACCTCCACCGCCACCGCCCCCACTGGCCCCACCCGCTCCCTTGCCCCCCTTGCCCTTGCCAGAGCGGCGTCTCCCGCTAGGGGCAGACGCCGCACCGACCGACTCAAGACCAACGAGGTCGGCCGCAGCGGCAGAGGCGACAGAGGGCAGGAGAGGGGAAGGAGAATACCCCTCAAAGATGGGGGCGCGGGGGTCACCTCGAGAGGCTCCTACAGCAACTATGCTCTTCTCTGCTGCAAGAAGGGCCTTCCTGAGGCTTTCGACTGTGAGGGTGGTGGGACAGACCGCGAGGAAGTGGTCCCGGACTACACGAAGGGAGTCAGGGAGGCGAGTGACTAGGAAGTAGAGAGTGATGTACATGGGGGGGGGTTCTTGGCGCAGAAGTCAGCAGGAAGCGCAGCGCGGTAGCGAGTGTCACTAGTGCGGAGGTGCGTGATGAGATCAGCGACAGTGGGAAAGGTGGCAAGGTCAGGGAAGAGGAAGGGGAGCATGAGGCGGCTCAGTGCAGCAGTGGCAGGGGAGGAGTAGCGCGCAACTACAGCGTCGTACAAGGTCTGAGCACTCTTGTACTGGCTAAAGTGCGCGCGCTCAGCAGTAGGCAGGTGGCGACGCACAGCAAGACGTGCAGCAGCATCGCGCGTGGCCCACTGAGAGTGAACAGTGGCGTCAGCATCAGCAGCAGGGGCAGGGACGGCGCCAGAGGTGAGGTCAAAGAGAGATGGACCGTCGGCCCTGTCGCACTGTAAAAACAGCTGCAGGTCGTCGAGCCAGACCTCAAAGTCAATGGCTCGACCCTCAGCGTCAAAAGCGAGGACACTGGGTGTAGCCATGACGACGACAGTGGCGCAGTGCAAGCAGTAGGGGAAGGGTACGCAGTGACAGCAGTGCAGTGCTCACCGGGCAGGGCAGGTCGGGCGGCTCGGGAGGAAGGTCGCCAGACGACACGGCCGCTAGGCTGCTGGGCGGCTCGGCTCCCGGGCGGCTCGGCTGCTGCTGGGCGGCTCGGCTGCTGCTGGGCGGCTCGGCGGCTCCTGGGCGGCTCGGCTGCTGCTGGGCGGCTCGGCGGCTCCGGGCGGCTCGGCTGCTGCTGGGCGGCTCGGCGGCTCCGGGCGGCGCGGCTGCTGCTGGGCGGCTCGGCTGCTGCTGGGTGGCTCGGTGGCTCCTGGGCGGCTCGGTTGCTCCGGGCGGCTCGGCTGCTACTGGGCCGCGTAGGTAGGGCGGCCGGGCGGGCCGCAGGTAGGGCGGCGGGTAGGCCGCAGGTAGGGCGGCGGGACGGCCGCAGGTAGGGCGGCGGACGGCCGCAGGTAGGGCGGCGGGTAGGCCGCAGGTAGGGCGGCGGGACGGCGGCAGGTAGGGCGGCGGACGGCCGCAGGTAGGGCGGCGGGTAGGCCGCAGGTAGGGCGGCGTACGGCCGCAGGTAGGGCGGCGGGGAGGCCGCAGGTAGGGCGGCGGGTGGGCCGCGACAGAGTGGCGGGGCCTCTCGAAGGAGTGGCAGGGCCGCGACGAAGTGGCGTGGCCGCGACGGAGTGGCGGGGCCGCGACGAAGGGGCGGGGCCGCTCGAAGGGGTGGCGGGGCCGCTACGGAGTGGCGGGGCCGCGCGTAGGGGTAGCGGGGCCGCGACTGGGTGGCGGGGCCGCGACGGGACGGCGGGGCCGCTAGCAAGGGCGGCGGGTGGGCCGCTAAGGTAGGGCGGCGGCTGGGCCGCGAGTAGGGCGGCGGTCGGGCCGCGAAGTAGGGCGGCGGGGCCGCGAAGGAAAAGGGCGACTCGAAGGGTCGCTAAAAAAAAGGCGCGCGCCTCGGGCGCGCTTCGGTGGGCCCTAAAGAACAGTCCCTAGGATGGGACCTGCTCTGATTCCATGTGAAGAAAGGAACGTGAATGAAATGACTATGAATGAAGTGAGTACAAATAGGAAACCCTAGTTGGGTTGTACCCCCTATGGGATACCCCACTATAGCCTACACAAATAAGTAAGCTATAACATTCTGACAGTTTCGACTTGTAAATTATTAGAAGTTTGTCTCTTGTTCATGCATCAAACCGACTCCACACCACAAAACCTACTTCACAACGTTTCTGAAAAACTTTCGACGAACAAGTTCAGCATCCCTAAGCCGGAGAGGCACAACAAAACAACAAAACAACACCCGAAACCGGACACGTCGACCATGTCACGAGCGGTCGGGCCAGCGTTCGTAGGTCTTCGTCAGAAAGCCTGCAGCGTTTGCACCCACGCCGACCATGCTACGAGCAGGCGGGCCAGCCTTCGTCGACCTAGGCGTCGGCGACCTGCTTCCCTTTGTGCTGCTGCCCCCTCGCCCCCCTGTCCCGAATGATAATCTTCATCTGGGGGTCGATAGGCAAATCGACGCCGCGAGCCTTGAGCTTCGGGCCTCCGACATTGCAGTCCCCCCAGAAGGCGAGGTTCTCTATCATGACACGGGCGATCAGCTCGTCGTGCTCGCGCTCCTCTCCGACCTCAGGCAGCGACCTCACCACAGCCGCCTGCAGGTCCTTCGTCACCGTTTCGGCGACCTCCCCTACGACGACCACCCGGGAGGCCGCCCGCTGAAGCACCGCCTCGATGACGGTCCGACACCGACTCGCGAACTCGTTGGACGCTCCGCGCATGGTCGCTGCCGCCCCCCCCTTCGCCGGCCGCTACTTCCGCCGTGGCATTGGTCTCCGAAAAACACCACACCGCGGCCGCAGTACCGGCGAGGATCTCGGACAACCGCTCCGACCCGACGCCCGGAATGGGCGTCACTTTCGCGGCCACCGGTGCGAAGGCGGCACACATCGAAACGCGTGCGATCATGTCGCTCGCCACCTTCTTCTTCGCGGCCTTCTCGGGCTCGGTCGACTCCGGAAGGTCGCCGAACCACACCGCCGGGCGAAGAGCCAACATGAGAGCTGCGCGGTCGGCTCCGGTTATCCTGTTGTATTCCGCGACCACCTGTTGGAACCTGCGAAACACAGCAGGAATACCCACCGTCACCGACCGCCCCACGCGAACCGACCGAAACGAGCACCAAATTGAGCATTCGCCAAGCTTACCTGTCGCGGAAGACGTTCGCCCCTCGGCTCCACATGACCATCCACATGCCCCCCGGAATCAATCGCGCCACATTCCAGTCCGCCTTATACTGCGCCATCACTTCCTCCTTGACCCCACCGAACTCCTCGAGAACCACGTCGCTGACGAAGCCGTCGAACGACGAAACGGCGACAGCGATGCAGTAGGCGGCCTCGGACTTGTCCATCGACCGGCAGATGTAACGGCTCTTCTTCCCAAACTTCATCTCCGAGACGGCCAGCCCATTTGAAGGGTCAACGCGGACGCCTGAACCCTTCCGACCCTGCGCGGCCGCTTTGGACGTCCCCTTGGAAGAGCCGACCTTCGCCGGGCCGCCCTTCGCCTTGTCCTTGCCCTTGCGCTTCTGCTTCCCATCGCCGACCTCACCGGTTGTGGCCGGGGGGGATTTGGCGCCAGCCGCGCTATGGTCCTCCGCAGGAGCAGTCGAGGCGGCTGGTGCACCCTGTTGCGCTCCCACGGTGGGAGCTGCTGCTTGTAGTTTTTCCCGCATGACCTCGATTTCCGGGTCCGGCATCACGATGCTGGCGAGGATCTCTTCGTCAACCCCGCCGGCCTCTTCCGCCGCTCTCCACACAGCCGCCTCCACCGTTGAGCCACTCGGCCCTGCAGTCGCCGCCGCGACGTTTGCTGCCTCTGCTCCTTGGTCGACCGCCTGGTTGCTGTGAGTCGGAGGAATTACCGGGGTTTTCTGACCCTGATCCTCGAGCCATTTCAGATACTCGTCGAACGATGGCTTTTGACGGACTAGAGCCTCGACCGCCCGAGACTCAACAGCCGTTGGGATCGGGATCGGTTCCGCGGCGACCATGGCCCCATGAACGGGTAAGCTGGCCGCACCGGCAGCCTGCTGGACATGCTGTCCGACCACCGCTGCTGGGCGCAAGAGCTCGTCGACCAGCGCCGTGGCGCCAGCCGGACTCGTCGCGGTGGGGGGATGCTGGCCCGTACCTGGCGGCCCGCCCTGCTGTCCGACCACCGCTGCTGGGCGCAAGAGCTCGTCTACCAGCGCCGTGACGCTAGCCGGACGCGCGTCTTGTGCGGTCGGCGTGCTCGTCGACGGGTGAAGATGCTGGCCCGCACCGGGCGGCCCGCCCTGCTGTCCGACAACCGCTGCGGGGCGCAGGAGGTCGTCGGGCAGCTGCGCTGTGACGCCGGTCGGTCGCGCAGTCGGCGTACTCGTCGAGGGTTGAACATGCTGGACCGCAACGGGCTCCCCGCGCGCCTGGCCGACCACCGCTGCGACGTGCATGTCGTCTGCCATCTGGGCCATGCCGCCGCTCGGTCGAGCGCCTTGTGCAGTCGCCGGACTGGCCTCGGGGTGTGGATGCTGTTCCGCCGTTGGCTGCCAGCCCTGCTTCGCGACCACGGATGCCTCTCCCATGAGCTCGTCGGCCAGACTCACCTGGTCGCAGCTCGGTGGTGCGTCGTGTGCGCTCGGCGGATCGGTCGGGGCCTGTGGCTGCTTGTCCCCCACGGGCTGCCCACCGGTCTTCCCGACCACCGACTGAGGATCCTGGAGCGCGACGTCGACCTGTCGAAAATCTTCGCTCGGTCGCGCGCCAAGTCCATCTTTCAGCAAGTCGTGGACGCCGGGGATACGAACATACGAAGGGGCAGGAGGATCCACGCCCACACCGCGTTTCACCGCAGGTCCTCTGCTTCGCTTAGAGCCGCTGGTTTGGTCGCCGGTCAGGGATTTTTCGTCGGCGACCCTTTTCCCCGACTGCCTTGGGGCCGGCCCACTCTCCTCGGCGATTGCGCGACCGCCGTGCATCACCGACGCGAGAGCAGTTGGGAGGAGGCTAAACCCGGCGGTGCCAATGCCCTGTTGGGTCGCGGAGGTGACCGCCTTCACCAGGTCGTCCCTAAGCTCTTGGACGACCTTCGCAGTCACGGCAGCGGCGATCCGCTGCGCCTCGCCCTCCATGGCGGCCTTCACCTCGGCAGACACGACTGTTTTGATCTTCTGGCCAAGAGCATCTGCCACACCTCGAAGCAGCAGGAGGTCGTCCTCCCGTCGCCTACCCTGTGCAGCAGTAGCCGTCAAGTGCAGGGCCTGCACGGTGGGCAGCCACTGCGTGTTCATGAATTCTAGGGTGGAGCCGCGATAGCTCACCGCCTCCTGCACGACCGCCCTCATAGCGTCCACCGCCGTTTGGATGCTCCTCCCCGACGTCTGCTCGAGATGGGTCACGCCCTCGGCGACTGTAGTGAGCTTGTTCACGGCCGAGGTGACCACGCCGTACATCGTGTCGTTCCGGGCCGTCTGGAACTCCAGCCTCTTTTCCGCCACCAGCTTCTCCTCCCTCAGCTTCTTGATCTCCCTCTCCGCCGCCTTCAGACGCTCGATAGCCGCCTTTGACGCCATCCTAGTCGGGGTCGAGCCACTGCTGCCCCGGGCCTTCTTGCCCAAATTGGGTCCGCTGCCGCCGCTCTTATCCGCAACCTTCTCACCGGCGAACTGTACAGCTTCCTCTTCGCCGGTGACAGCCACGTCGTCCTCCTCACGCTCCACGTCCTCCTCTTCTTCCGAGCCACCGTCGTGCTCCCCGCCCCCCTCGACGTCCTCCCTCTCGTGCTCCTCCTCCCCACCCAGAGCGATGGCGGTTCCGACGCCACGGGCCACGGTCGACGCCGCCTCCCCTTCGTTCGACGCGGCCTTATCCGCGTGGTGCAGCAGCTCCAGTCGGAGCGCCTTCAAGCCGACCATCTTCGGGTTCTCGACGATGAGCGGATCGTAGCTGCGATGCACGTCGTCCAGATGCTCCAACGACCACGCGAACGCGTTGACCGCCAACAGCCCCGTGCCGGCGACCTCCTCCTTGAGGATGTCGGGCAATTTCTGCATCAACATCCGAAGCACATGGCGCCGACGAAAAGGGTGAGTCGACGCCTGGACGACGATAGCCCAGGCGACAAGGCGACATGGACGTTGGAAACTCACATCACGGATGGGGGCGGCAAGACTCTCCAGACGTTCGGAGAGGACTTTGGCGGAAGGAGGCGCAGCCGTCCACTGCCTTCCCCCACGGTTCAACTCCGCCTTCACGCATTCGCCGAAAAACCTGCGCTACGAGACGGAAAAGAGCCATCAGACAAGGCGGCATGAACGACGTTAAGGAGCGGCGCGACTAGCCGTCGACGTTGTCCCACCTCAGAACGTTGGCTGCCTCCTCCTCGTGCCGCTTGGAGGAGGTTTTGGGGTCGAGGTGGCGGTAGAACGTCCCGATCTCCTCCTCGTCGGGCAAAAGCAGGTCGCCAGGGCGCACAACAAGCAGGACGCTGCAGTGCCTGCCGGGAAGAGGTCCGCCACTGCCCACACAAGCACGACGGAGACATTCAGGGTTCTGTCCGGGAACAACAAGCAACGCGGTCGGCGTGGATCAAACCTCACGGGCGCGGAACACTCACCTGGTGCACAGGGGGATGGCGAGGGCTTCGAAGCCGAAGGCCGACCCGAAAATCAGATGGTCCGCCTTCGACGCCGTCCTGGCAGCGCGAAGACTCGCACCGCGGATTTGGATCATCCTGTCGCCTTTTCCCAGACGATCGAGCTCGTACCTGGGACAACCGGGGGCGAAAAGGCGGGAGCGAAACACTTGCGCGGTGAGCTACAATCCATGCCGGGCGCCGGGGTAAAGCGCGGACAGCAAGACAAGCGGACTCGGACCAAGGTTTCGCACGACGGCGATGTCGCCGGCAGCATGACGGACGTCACCGACGTAGGGCCAATGGTCGAGGACAGGCAAACTAGTTAATAGGACGACGCAGCGCCAAAACGTCCATCGCAGACGGACATCGTCGACCACGTGGAAAAACGACAAGGCCAACGTCGACCTAGAAAGGACGCCGACGAAAACGCGCAGGACAAGGACGAACAACGCGACCTAGGGATGCGCGCTCACGCGAGGCCGAGGTCGAAGCAAGGTTCTGTTAACTCGGCCTTCTCGTCGCGAAGGACTTCGTAGTCCTTCATCTCAAGCGTCACCCCGTACCCACCGATGCCCACTGGCACGTGGAGGGGGAATTCAGTCGCAGGCAGTGCTATCCTACTGGTCGCCATGCTAACACCACGGTCGGTATCACGGAGGGTTTGGGGAGGAGCGCGGAGAGCTGACAGGGAGGCAGAGGAAATCGGAAAGCGAAGTTGGAAAGGAGAAATGACGGATGGAGTGGGACCCCCCATCAAGAAAAGGGCGTGGGCCGTCGGTCGCCTAGTATGCAGCTCGGCGGACGAGGCAGGTCGTCGTGGCCGAGGGCGAGCCTCCGGCTTCGGCCCGTACCGGGCATGCCCTCGAGGGCGGGGTTCGGAGGGGCGGAGGTGGGTGGTTTGTGTGGGCCGTGCGTGGGGGTGGTCGGGGTGGCGAGGGCGAGCCACGTGTCCCCTCCCGAGGGGCCAGAGATGTTGACGAGGGTGGGGTCGGGCCCTTTGAATTTCGCAACCAACCCGCATGCCCGGCGAGGGCAGCCCGAGAGGGTTACTAGGGCCTCGCGGGCAACGCGAAGCGAATGTCCGCCTCCGTGAAGGGGTAACTAGGCCCCTCGTCGCTCACGCGCGAGTTCGCCACCCCTCGGCTGCAACGTGGGGTTCTGTAGGAATTGGGGGTGGGGGGCCGGGGCGGGGGGCGTGGGCAGAGCCCCGCCCCGCGCTAGCCTGGCGGGGGACTCACGCGAGGGAGTTGGCCGCCCTGACGCTCGGTCGACCGTCACCCCCCCGCGTCGTCCCAGGCAGAACGGGTGCGTCACCCCGAATTCCGATGAGCGATTCAGCTGGTTCAATTGCGCATTAGATCTGTAAGGTGCTAGTTCTAATCTCGCTAGAGGTATCGTTTTGCAGGGACCTGTATAGTGTTTCGTCTCGCTACGGAGCACTCAGTACCAGTATAACTGGGATTGTGCACTGTACAGTCAGAGTAATGTGTTCCTTATGCTGTTTTTCAAAGGGTATTGAAAAACTTACACTTTCTGGCATAGGGTAAAAAATCCACTACCCTCATCGATATTCTGCCCTAGGGTAAAAAATCCACTTACACTTTCTGGCCTAGGGTTAAAAATCCACTACCTGTCGCTCGATATTCTGCCGGTGCACTGCATCTGTGTTCTGTGTCAGTGTTGCTTCACCCTGCAGTCACCCCACCACAATCTAGCCAGCAAATTTGACCTTGTTACAAAAAGTACTGTAGAGTTTCTGGGCTTGTCGTCCCTCGAACCGCTTCAAGCTACGGTCCAATAAGGAATAACCACGTGCCTAGTCGATTCGCCCCTCGAAAGTACCTCCCCCTGCGTTGCGAGTCGCCCTCATTTCGCTCGATATGTTTCGCAGAAACCGATGCGAAGTCGTCTGTTCAGTCGACGACAGCCCTCGTTGGCCCATAAATACACGGATGGGCGAATTTGCTTCGCGGCATCCGCTTGGACATCACTATGATTTGCCACCGACTTCACAATGTTTGTTCTGACCGCTGCGAATTTGATATCCGTAGTGTTTGACCAGTCGTTGTACAGAGTTGTTTCTATGTATGCGTAATCATTATGTCAAAATCGTACCATAAACGGTTCGTACATATCATGTGATTGAGAGCCCCTTGTCGAATTAACAAAGCTTTCCATACACCTTTGCACTTTTTTATGACCAAGGGCAGTCCTTCGGTCAGTTTGAATGGAGACCAACTCCTCCTCCACCAAGCTCACCAGGCAGAGATGTGCCTTTCATCAGCCTCAGGCCACATGAGCTTGCCCTCGAGATTGTTGGGTTTGAACCTCGAGGGGAACTCCACTCCACACCACATATCGTTCTCCTCATGACGAGTCTCTCAACCAACATTATCTTCTCATTACACGCATCGCATTCCATACGTGAGGCGATCCCGAGAAGCAACTCCCTCCACTGAAACCATCCCAGTTTCGATGTTGACTGGATCCTCGTAATAGATTCACCGTCTACACGAGCTGCTGCGCTACGCTCGTAGTTTCCTGTTTTCCTTCGTGGTTGCATTATTGCGTCGGTTGTATTCCCTGCGCTACGACTGATCCATTACCTTTCAATTGACCAAAATGATCATACAGCTCTTTACGTTCGAGCGTTGACAGGAAGCATTGCCATTTGCTCTTACGACTCCCGAACGACACCAGAGTGATCGCAACCTAAAGCATGTCGTCGTAACGAATATACGATCGTCGTTCAGGAGAAGGTCAACGTGTATCACGTAGCCTTATTATTGTTGGCTCCCCAAGTGCGTCTCTTAGAGGACCACCATGGTTTCGTTTTACGAGTCGAAGCTACGTTGCAGTGGTTTCCGCGATCGCCGTTCCCAATCTAGACAACCCTTCAGTTTCGCACCTCTAATTACATCCTTATCCCATCGGTTACCATTCGCGCTGCTACTTCTGGCGGCTCTCCCAGCAACCCTATTACCCTGTCAAATCCAAGCTACCCGGCCTTCCGTACCCGTTACAAGCGCCACCGATTTCGTGACAAGACCAGGTTCTAGGATTGGTTCCAGACCCGTTCGATCTCTCCGTTCGCTCGTCGAATCCCAGCCGTCCGATGGGTCATCCTCGTTTTACGTCCTCCCCGTCACCCACTCATACGCGCATCTCTCCGAAAGCTCCTTCCACGCGCGTCACGGGCAGCCACGTGGCATCATGACCGCAGATCACGCCCGACTGCTCAAACTGCACGATCGTCGCCGGCTCCTCCGGCTTCAAGGAAAGTCTCCCTCCGCCAAAACCGGCACAGAAAACGGCGCAGTTAGGGCGGGAACAGGGGATTGGACGATCAGTGCAAACGTGGGGAACATATCTCTGGCCGAAGGGACGGTGACGGAAGTGGGAGGCGGAGCGTTCTACCAGCTAGGAGGCAATATGGAGATGACTATAGCGGGGTAGGTTCTAGCTGAGATGACTATAACGGGTATGTGCGAGGTGACTGTAGCGGGACTTGTACGATTGGGAATGACAATGAGCATATGTGGGTCATTTGAGACTGAGGACTCAGGACTGAAGATTGCAGCACTTGTTCTCCTTCACGTCACTGCAGTCCTCTCACAGTCCACCTTCCCCCTCCCACGTTAAGTCCCCTCCCGTTTCATCCTCGTTACTCGCACTAGCCCTGATGCACTCACCCTGAATTCCTCACCCTGCCCGTCGTTCCCTGTCTCCAGCCTCTATTGGGCGGAGGTGCAGCTCGGGCAGCCCGTGCAAAAGTTTAAGGTTCAGATTGACACGGGCAGTGACGTCATGTGGGTCACCTGCGCGCCCTGCCTCGCCTGTCCGGTCGCTTCCACAGTGGTGCGTGGCTTCTCATTCCGGTTGTGGGGAGTTTAGAGGAGTAAGAAACGGTTAGCAGGAGGGGTTTACGTGCCTTGCAACATTTCCAAGTCACTGACTCCTGACGTGCCTCACTAATTCATCACCACTGTCCCCACCCCCTCCCCACCCTCCGCCCCACCCGCCCCCAACCCCTCCCCCTCCCCTCCTCTCCCCAATTCAATGTCTCTCCTGCAAGTCTTTTTCTCCTTTTCTTACAGCACTACCAAGTCACTGATCCCTGACGTGCCTGAAAAGCACACCCTCTTATTCATCACCACTATCCTCCCCCACTTCCCCAACACCGCATCTCTCGCACAGGTCCTTTCCCCGCCGTACGACATTACCAAGTCGTCAACAGCTCAGGTCAGCTGGGTGGGTTGGTGGTGCATGGGGGGATGTTGGTGGGCTGGTGCGTGGGGGAGGTGCTGGGTGGGTGGGCAGATTGATGTAAAGGCGCTGCAACTAGTCATGCCATCTCGACTTCTCCTGCTACTTGCTTTGGGTTGAGGCCCTTGCTCTTTCTCCTGGTACTTGCTTTGGGTTGAGGCCCTTGCTCTTTCTCCTGCTACTTGCTTTGGGTTGAGGCCCTTGCTCTTTCTCCTGCTACTTGCATTGCACACATGTTTAGCCGTCCTTTATTTCCTGCCTCCTCCTCCCCCTCCTCCAACCCCTCCCTCCCCTTCTCTCTCTTTTTTTCATACCAGGTGGTTGATTGCGGCACCTCCACCTGCTCGGCGCTGCAGCAAACCAGACGAACCCTCGGGCAGGGATGCCTGGACATCTTGTATCCCAGCTCAGGGGACCCGCGGTGCTACTACGGCATCCAGTACGCCGACAAGTCCAGCAGCACCGGCTACTTGGTTAAAGACCGGCTTACCTTCTCTACTTTGGGCGGTGATCCCGCTTCTATGGACTACCTGTTTGGGTGAGCGCGAGGGGGCGGGCAGGGGCGGGTAGGGGCGGGCAGGGGGGGGCAGGGGAAAGGAGGGGAAAGGAGAGTAGAAAGAGAGGGGAAAGAGGGGCTGTCTGTGTGGACATGCTGCACCCCATCCAACTCGAGGGACCCGCGCGGTGCTACTACGGCATCCAGTACGCCGACAACTCCAGCAGCACCGGCTATTTGGTAAGGGACCGGCTCTCGTTTTCTACTCTGGGGGGCGATCCCGCCTCCATGGACTATCTCTTTGGGTGAGCGCGAGGGTAGGGAGAGGGGGGCTGGGGACGGGAGAGGGAGAGGGAGAGGGAGAGGGAGAAAGGGCATGGGCTCGCTCTCCATGCTCACGCACATGCAGGCAGCATGCAATACCACTGCTTGCTGCGTCAGCATGGGCCGTTGATCTCCTCTCTCCTTTCATCGCTCATGCACATTGCCTTGCCTCCTGCCCGCCCCCGCCGCCCCATGCTCCCAATCACTCCTTCACCAGTTGTGGGTTCCAGCAGTCAGGCAACCTGGTATCCGGAAACCATCTAGTGGACGGGGTCATGGGGCTCAACATGGGGTCGCTCCCCATGCTCACTCTCTTTCCCCCTCCCCTCGCACTTTTGAGGCGCCTCAAAACTTTTGAGGACTTTTGAGGCGCCTTAAAAGTCTTTCCCCCTCCCCTCGCACTTTTGAGGCGCCTCAAAAATCTTTCCCCCTCCCCTCGCACTTTTGAGGCGCCTCAAAAATCTTTCCCCCTCCCCTCGCACACACCGTTCCCCTCCAGCTGTGGGTTCAAGCAGTCGGGCAACCTGGTTTCGGGCAACCACCTAGTAGACGGGGTGATGGGGCTCAACATGGGGGCGCTCTCCATGCTCACTCTCCCCCTCCCTTGCGCTTCTTCTCCCTGCCCCACTCCCTTCCGTCTCCTTCCCTGCCCCTCCAGCTGTGGGTTCCAGCAGTCAGGCAACCTGGTATCGGGCAATCATCTAGTCGATGGAGTGATGGGGCTCAACATGGGGGCGCTCTCCATGCTCACTCAGATGCAGGTGGCACGCAAGACCAACGGCGTGTTTGCGCACTGTCTAGGGGGCGAGGAGCTCGGTGGTGGGAGTCTCATTTTCGGCACAGTTCTGGAGGATGGGCTGCTGTACACGAGTCTACTGGACGATAGGTGAGGGGAATGATGGTGCCAGGTAAGGTGAGTGCAATTCGGCAGGTGAGGGGTTTATGTGGATGGTCTCTATGCTCACTCAAATGCAGCCGGCACGCAAGACCAACGGCGTCTTTGCGCACTGCCTAGGGGGAGAGGAGCTCGGGGGAGGTAGTCTGATTTTTGGAACGGTGCTGGAGGATGGGCTGCTGTACACGAGTCTGCTGGACGACAGGTGAGAGGAATGATGGTTGGTTGGTGTTAGGGCTAGTGATGACAGGTGGGGCACTGCCTGGGAGGCGAGGAGCTGGGGGGAAGGAGTTTGATCTTTGGGACGGTGCTGGAAGATGGGCTGCTATACACGAGTCTATTGGACGACAGGTGAGGGAATCCGCCAGGTGAGGGGTTTATGTGGGGTGCTTGCTCTATGCTCACACAGATGCAGGGTATCTCATCTGCTTTTGAGTCGTGTTTTGAGTCGACTCAATAGCAGATCTATGCTCACACAAATGGATGGTACTGAGTCGTGTTTTGAGTCGACTCAATAGCAGATCTATGCTCACACAAATGGATGGTACTGAGTCGTGTTTTGAGTCGACTCAATAGCAGATCTATGCTCACACAAATGGATGGTACTGAGTCGTGTTTTGAGTCGACTCAATAGCAGATCTATGCTCACACAAATGGATGGTACTGAGTCGTGTTTTGAGTCGACTCAATAGCAGATCTATGCTCACACAAATGGATGGTACTGAGTCGCGTTTTGAGTCGACTCGAAAGCAGATCTATGCTCACACAAATGCAGGGTACTGAGTCGTGTTTTGAGTCGACTCAATAGCAGATCTATGCTCACACAAATGCAGGGTACTGAGTCGTGTTTTGAGTCAACTCAATAGCAGATCTATGCTCACACAAATGCAGGGTACTGAGTCGTGTTTTGAGTCGACTCAATAGCAGATCTATGCTCACTCAAATGCAGGGTACTGAGTCGTGTTTTGAGTCGACTCAATAGCAGATCTATGCTCACACAAATGGATGGTACTGAGTCGTGTTTTGAGTCGACTCAATAGCAGATCTATGCTCACACAAATGGATGGTACTGAGTCGTGTTTTGAGTCGACTCAATAGCAGATCTATGCTCACACAAATGGATGGTACTGAGTCGTGTTTTGAGTCGACTCAATAGCAGATCTATGCTCACACAAATGGATGGTACTGAGTCGTGTTTTGAGTCGACTCGAAAGCAGATCTATGCTCACACAAATGCAGGGTACTGAGTCGTGTTTTGAGTCGACTCAATAGCAGATCTATGCTCACACAAATGCAGGGTACTGAGTCGTGTTTTGAGTCAACTCAATAGCAGATCTATGCTCACACAAATGCAGGGTACTGAGTCGTGTTTTGAGTCGACTCAATAGCAGATCTATGCTCACTCAAATGCAGGGTACTGAGTCGTGTTTTGAGTCGACTCAATAGCAGATCTATGCTCACACAAATGGATGGTACTGAGTCGTGTTTTGAGTCGACTCAATAGCAGATCTATGCTCACACAAATGGATGGTACTGAGTCGTGTTTTGAGTCGACTCAATAGCAGATCTATGCTCACACAAATGGATGGTACTGAGTCGTGTTTTGAGTCGACTCAATAGCAGATCTATGCTCACACAAATGGATGGTACTGAGTCGTGTTTTGAGTCGACTCGAAAGCAGATCTATGCTCACACAAATGCAGGGTACTGAGTCGTGTTTTGAGTCGACTCAATAGCAGATCTATGCTCACTCAAATGCAGGGTACTGAGTCGTGTTTTGAGTTGACTCAATAGCAGATCTATGCTCACACAAATGGATGGTACTGAGTCGTGTTTTGAGTCGACTCAATAGCAGATCTATGCTCACACAAATGGATGGTACTGAGTCGTGTTTTGAGTCGACTCAATAGCAGATCTATGCTCACACAAATGGATGGTACTGAGTCGTGTTTTGAGTCGACTCAATAGCAGATCTATGCTCACACAAATGGATGGTACTGAGTCGTGTTTTGAGACGACTCAATAGCAGATCTATGCTCACTCAAATGCAGGGTACTTCATCCCCAATGCTTCACTTCAATGCTCCCTCACCCCCTTTCAACCCCCCCAATAGGTCGCACTACTATGTCCAGTTGAACGGCGTATCAGTGGGAGGGCAGCGCCTGCCAGGCGTTGACCAGCCGGCCTTCTCCTCGCAGCAGGACGTGTTTGGCTGCTCACACCCTCCCCCCCACCCTCCTCTTGTTCCCAACCCCTCCTCTTGCCCTTCGTCCCCCAACCCCAGATCACATTATTATGTCCAGTTGAACGGCATCTCAGTGGGGGGGCAGCGCCTGCCAGGCATCGACCAGTCGTCCTTCTCCTCGCAGCCGGACGTGTTTGGCGGCTCGGGCAGCCTGCAGGCGGGAGGGGTGATCATAGACAGCGGCACCACCCTCGCCATGTTCCCCACTCCGATTTACAACACGTGGCTGGACGCGGTGAGTGTTGCTTGTGGCAGTCAGGGGGCAGCAGTGTGTGCATGGCTTCATGCACTGGTTTTACTGCGGGTCGGGGAGCCTGCAGGGGGGAGGGAGGGGTGATTATGGACAGTGGCACCACCCTCGCCATGTTCCCCTCCCCACGCCCATCTACAACACGTGGCTGGACGCGGTGAGTGGGAAGGAGGACCTCACCTTTGTCAACACCAGTGAGGAGTACACAGTCCATGACGGGCAGAGGAGGAGGATAGCATTTTTGTCAGCAGCAGCATCAGCAACGCGAACAACCCACGTGGTGAGTGCACCGCCTCCCTCAGGCCCCTCTGGTGGATGACAAGGGGGCCTGAGGGAGGCGGTGCACTCACCACGTGGGTTGTTTGCGTTGCCGATGCTGCTGTTGACAAAAATGCTATCCTCCTCCTCATGCCTCTCATAGGCTGTGCACTCCTCACTGGTGCTGCTGCTGACAAAGCCCTCCTCATCGGTGCTGCTCTTGATAGTTAGGTTACTGCTTTCATTACTCTTCCAAAAGAGCCTCCACTTCTGTCTTTCCTCACCTCCTCCCCACTCCCACCCCTCTCCTCCCCACATTGCCCCCTGTTACCAGGTTACTTCTCTCATCACCTTGCCCCAAGTGGGCGCCACGTCAGACTTCCTCTGCTACGACTTTGGCTCCAAGTGAGTGCGCTACAGGCAGTTGTGCAAGAGTAAGGCTGTGTTGCACTACTGCCAGAAGTGCTACAGCCAGCCGTGCTACAGCCAAATGCACCGCAGCTAGTTGTAGCACGGCCTGTTTATCACAGCAATATTTCCCACCCGCACCAGGGGCAGCTGTGGTATGGTATGGATGGCTAATGCCTCCCATTAAGCAAGGGCAATTAAAGTATAGATAAAAGTTCCCCCACCATTTCTCAGGCACCTCAGAATTAGTCATCAACTGTTCTGCCCCACCACCCCCCTCCCCCTCTCCCCCTCCCCCCTCCCCGCTCCCCGCTTCCCGTCTCCTGTCCTGCGTTCTTGCCTCCTTATCACAGCAAGTATGAGGAACTTTCCAAGTACTTTCCGACGGTGACTCTGCATTTCGAGGGGGCAGACATGACCGTTGAACCCCCCGGCTATGTCTTCCTGCACTCAAATGTGAGTCCACTATGCCTTTCCTTCCGCTCCTCCCTTATCAATCAAGCCCCGTCCCCCATCTGAGAGGGCTGACCGTTGAACCCCCCGGCTACGTCTTCCTGCATTCAAACGTGAGCCCAGCATGCCATCCCTTCCGATCTTTCCTATTGAGTCAAGCCTCATCCCTTTTGAGAATTCTCAAAAGTGATTCCACATCCGAGTGGACATGACCGTTGAACCCCCCGGCTACGCCTTCCTGCATTCAAACGTGAGCCCAGCATGCCATCCCCTTTCTACCCCTGCCTGGGTTATTTATTTTGAGTCGACCAGAAATACATGACCGTCGAACCCCCCGGCTATGTGTTCACATATAGCATTGTCAATCTGCACATTGCCCTCCAATGTGAGCCCAGCATGCGATCCCTTCCAATCTTTCCTATTGAATCAAGCCCATCCCACATCTGAGAGTGCATGACCATCGTCCCTCGCGGCTATGACTTCCTGCGTTTTAATGTGAGCCCACTATGCCATTCCTCCCCCTTCCGCCCCCCTCTCCCCCCTCCCACTCTTTCTCCCCCTTGACGCTTCCTCTCCCACTCTTCCCCCTTTTCCACTCTTCCTCCCCACGCCACCTCCCTCTCCCTTTTTCCTGCAATTTTTTCGAGTCCGGCCTTCCAGCCTTTTCCCTCCTGCACACCTCGCCTCCGGCCCTCAGTGATTGCAGCGTTCCACCCCTCCCCTCTGGGCCATGCTCAGAGGAAGAGAGGAGACTACTATTGAGGCACCTCAATAAGCCCATGTTTGGTCACGTGATTGCATGTGTGTGTCTGTGTGATTGCATGTGTGTGTGTTTGTGATTGCATGTGTGTGTGTTTGTGATTGCATGTGTGTGTGTGCATGTGGCTGGCAGGGGGTGGTCATGGCTGCGTGCATAGGATGGCAACCCATGCTTGGAGGAGACTTTTCCAAGATAACTGTCATTGGAGGTATGTACACCTTGCATTCCTTACAGTCACTATCATTGGATGTACACATTGCATTTGTTACAGTCACTGTCATGGGAGGTACACCTTGCATTTGTTACTGTCACTGTCATTGGATGTACACCTTGCATTCGTTACTGTCACTGTCATTGGATGTACACATTGCATTTGTTAGCCACTGTCGTTGGAGATACACCTTGCATTCGTTACAGTCACTGTCTTTGGAGGTACACCTTGCATACTGTCACTGTCATTTGGAGGTAGGTACACCTTGCATTTACTGTGTTCACTGGTTCATTTGAGGTGTGTGGCATATTCATTACAGTCACTGTCGTAGGAGGCACACCCCTTGATTGCGTTTCCATCCAGTCACTGCCAATTGAGATACAATCTTGTTTTTGTTACAGTCACTGTTATCAAGGTAGAATTTCGTGTACAATCTTGCCCTCGCCTCCTCCTCCCGCTCACCCTTGCCTATCCTGTCCCTTCTCTCTCCTCTCCCCTTCTCCCAGACATAGTCCTGCGCAACCATCTCGTTGTGTATGACACGGATAACATGAAGCTCGGATGGGCTCCCTACGACTGTGAGTTCCTTTCACTGCACTGCTGCAACAGTGCTCTGAGGTGCTTCTACGGTCAGGTGGCCTTTGACTCAAGTCAAAGGCAACCATCTCGTTGAGTACGACACGGATAACATGAAGCTCGGATGGGCTCCCTACGACTGTGAGTTCCTTTCACTGCACTGCTGCAACAGTGCTCTGAGGTGCCTCTATGGTCAGGTGGCCTTTGACTCGAGTCAAAGGCAACCATCTCGTTGTGTACGACACGGATAACATGAAGCTCGGACGGGCTCCATATGACTGTGAGTTCCATTGCACTTGTGCAACTTTTTTAACTTTTGAGTCTATTGAGAAGTCACCTTGTGGTGTATGACACGGACAACATGAAGCTCGGATGGGCTCCATATGACTGTGAGTCTCCGTGCACTTGTGCAGACAATGTTCATCATTCAATAGTTTTGCTCCCTTCCTTCTTCCTTCCCTCCCTTACTTCCTTCCTCATTCTCTCTCCCTCCTTCCTTCCTACCTTTCTCCCTCCCTCCCACTAAACAAGTTGCTGCCGACAGCTGGATTACACAGTTGGGACGTTTCAAACCACAAGACCTCCACTTGTCTTTTCCTCCCTCTGCGCATCTCATCATACAGGTTCCGTGGGAACGATCACAGCCGATGGAGGGGAATACAACGTCACCATTATTGTGGGAGCCAATCTCTCCCCGCCGCCACCGGTCAAGTCGTCCGCCTCTGCGGCTCGGCGCCCCACTTTCATGCTCTCGCTACTAGCGGCTGCGCTAGCATCTGCAGTGCTTTTCCTCGGCGCTGGTGGAGAGGGTTTGCTAGAAGAGAACGAGTCTTCTTTTCAGCGAGGGCCAGCAGCAGTAGCAGTAATGGAGGCGTCTGGAAGCAGTGGTTTACCGTGTCAAAGGCTTGCGCAAGTTGCACTAGCACAAGGCCGCTCTTGTAGAGAGCTTGAGGAGCACAGTTCACATGAACCAATGCCATGGCTATATGATGATGTGGTAAGATGGTGACGTTTACTGGCAGGTATGAAGTGGCGTCATGTGTGGTGCTGTATTTCCTGTGTAGTTGCTACATGCGAGACAAATCTGCAGTCTATGCATAGTGAAGCAGTTTAGTAGTTTGCGTCGCTTTCAAAGCTTGTATTTGTGAGTTTCTCTCCCAAACATTCTTCCCTTGTCAATCATATCAGCTGTGAATGTGAATACATGTGGTGTAGTGAACTATTTAGCAGATTTTGAATTAGTGGTATCATAAGAAATGACGGGAACCGTTTGCAGCAGTTACCTACCCTCCATGAATTCTCCCTCCCGTTTATCGCAAATCTTTATCGAGGTCGCGTACGTTCGACCTTATCACGTATGCAAAAAAAAACTACTGGTGCTGTTTGGAGATTACCGATAGTGAACCAGGCTTGGTCCGCTCTCACAGCCTCATTGCGCGCACTAGTCCGACATAGTAATCTTGTCAAGAAGAGCTGGAAATACTGGTGTCCTGTTTGGTGCTGATTCTTTTCCATAACATCTCTTTTTTAAATTTATAGTCCAGGCTCTCTCTCGCTTCTCCGCATCTCTCCGCCAAGCGTATCCTCCGTCCCGCAATTTTTTTCCCACATGGATGAGTCGGATTTTCTTAAAGCCCTGGCGCTTTACCCAGTAGTTCGCTCGCGTGACTACAACGAAAACGATCTCCCGGCCACCGCTGCTGCTGCTTCCTCCCACGCATCTGAATCCCAGCGCGGTAATCCCAAGCAAGTCAGTTTACTTGCAGAGGGAGTTTCCGGGCAGCAACCCGAGACAGGTGAAGCGAATCTAGGGCTTGGGGGAACGGCTCCTACTCCTTCTAGGTCGTTTTGGGAAGTGCTGCAGGAGCGAGTGGCGGCGCACTTGCCGCCGGGAGATGCGGTGGCGCTTTGCAACGCGTTGAAAGAGTTTCACGAGGAGCTTATTCAGCAGAGATTGTCGCTGGATGACATTAGGAGGATTGCTAAGCATGGGAAGCTGCTGGAAGTGAAGTGAATTTTCTGAGACGAACTTAAAAGTGTTTCACGAGGAGCAGTTTATCAAGCAGAGATTGTAACTCGATGACATTAGGAGGATTGCTAAGCATGGGAAGCTGCTGCAAGTGAAGTGAAGATTTCATTCTTGCACAAGGATTTCTGGCTTGTTCTGGTGGACGTTACACTACTGATTTGATGGTTCCAGTATTGCATGTATGTAGGGCCCTAAATTCGTTTTGGGCCAGGCTGATCCATCAAACCTCGGTACAGAAAAAAACACTGACTATCAGCGTTACCTGGGGGAAAAATCCTGAAAATTCAAGGTTGGTACGAATAGAAAACGCTGAGAACTATGTGTATGGTTTTCCTTTTGAGCAGTAGTACAAAATCAGTGTAACAAGAATCACAGTTGGTTTGGAGTGGCGGGCGAAGCAGGTGGGCTAGAGGGAGGGGCCATACGGTAGTAGCAGGTGGGCTGGGGCGGGGGGAACGAGAAAGGCACATGGGCTGAGTGAGGGGAGGGGAGAAACGGGGTGAGCTGGTGGAGAGCCGAGAGGAAGTGGTGGACTGGGGGAAGTCTCGAGAGAGTGAGGAGTTTCAAGCACTCTATGCTTGTACGGTATGTCCTCCTTGGATCTGTGCTCCTTAATTTTTTTCAACTGTGCAGTGAAAAAAGCCGCTAGTTTCTCTTGCTTACGCCCTTCATCCGAGTGGCTGGGTTTGCCTCCCATTTGCACAACACAAACAATTGGAGAATGTGGGAGGGGTGCACTTATCAGTGGATGGATAAGAATATGCAGCACCTCGGGAGCAAGTGCTTGCCTTGCCTCCTTGGCTGGGTGTGCCTCGCATCTGCACAACACAAACAGATGGGGAATGTGGGTGGGTGGGTGCACTTACAGAGTATAGGAGCAGCGTGCTGGAAGTACAGTGGTTATCCAACCCAAATCACAGCATTGTGTCAAGTCAAGCCAACGATTGCACTCCAAGGTTGCACTAAAAGCCGACTCACTTGAGTAAGGAGGGCATTAGCGGCAGCGTGCTGAGGCTACAGATGAGCAGGGTGGCAATCCCAAGGACAGACTCGTTTCAAGTGTGCATGTCTTGAAACCTCATACTCACGTGGGTTAGGAGGGCATATAGCGGCAGCGCGCTGAGGCTGCAGATGAGTACAGTGGCGATGCCACCCCATATCGAACATGGTGTCAAGTCAGCATGTGCACACCAAGGGCACTAAAAGCGAACTCACGTGGGTTAGGAGGGCGTATAGCGGGAGCGTGCTGAGACTGCAGATTAGTAGAGTGGCGATGCCGAATATGAACTTGAGCCATGGCAGCCAGGCGGAGTAGGTCTTGCACTGCGCCTGGTTCACAGCTAGATACTGGTTTGGGCAGGGGAGGGAAGGGGAGTGAAGGGAAGGACTTAGAGGATGAAGCGCTTGAGACCTTGAGGATGAATTTGGAACCAGGGCACTGACTGCGTACCCTTTAAATTTGAGTCAAGTTCTTGTGACCTTGAGACCTTGAGGATGAACATGATACTTGTGCCTTGGAAGCAAATCCTTTCTCCCTTGTGGTCACCGTCGGGGTGCTACTCACATCGTAGACGCAAAGTCGCTGATCTTGTACCAGAAGCACAGTGGGTGTCAATGTGCGTGACAATGCCACAATGGTACAGTGACAATGGTACAGTGACAATGGTACAGTGACAATGGTACAGTGACAATGGTACAGTGACAATGGTACAGTGACAATGGTACAGTGACAATGGTATAGTGACAATGGTACAGTGACAATGGTAGTGACGATGGTACAGTGACAATGGTAGTGACAATGGTACAGTGCCAATGGTAGTGACAATGGTACAGTGACAATGGTAGTGACAATGGTACAGTGACATCATGTAGGAGCTCTGCGTGGGAAAGGACAGGGACAGCTCCTTTCTACCTTATGGTGGTTGCTACGGTGGTGTTACTCACATAGTAAACGACAAGGTTGCCAATCATGTAGGAGCTCTGCGTGGGAAAGAAAAGGGTTCAAAGTGAGAAGAGGCGAATCAAAAAACAGCTTTTGAAGGAGACAGATTTCAAGCCAGAGTGTTCAGTACATGCCTATTCGATGAATGCCAGATAAGGCTCAGTATACGAGCAGCAAACGACTGCCATGCAAAGGTCAAGCCAGAGGAAAAGAATGCTCGGAGCAACAAAGAGTGCATAGCATAATGCAGCAGGGCCAGTAAGAACGGTGGGGACTGAAACGGAAAAACTCAGAAAAAATAACACTACAAGCAGGTTCACGCCTATTCCTATTCCAAATGAAACTCAGAAATTCAGTAACTCGAGAGTTGCTTATAACGAAGAGAGCGAAGTGCAGTAACCCCAGCATGAAGGAGGGTCGCTTGAACCAGAAGAGCGAGCCTCGGGGCTTTAAGTGGTCGCCCTCGCAGTCTCCAGTCACATGCGCACTCTCTAAAGCCAGCAGCGATACGATGTACTCCAGCTTCGTTCCCACTGCCAGCACGATCTTTGGACATATATACAGTAACAAATACATACGCAAATATGTGAATGCTACACACGGTAGATTGATATGAATTAATGAAAAGGTAGGCATTTAATAGTTAGATTAATTTGCAAAAAAAAAAAAAAAAAAACCATCTGTTTGAACGAGCGTAGTATACAAAAATGTGTGGTGAGAAAACAAAATCATATCTAGCATGTATTTGTCAGAACATTATAGCTTACTCATTTATGTAGGCTATAGTGGGGTATCCCATAGGGGGTACAACCCAGTTAGGGTTTCCTATTTGTACTCACTTCGTTCATAGTTCACTCATTTCTCTCGTTCACTTCTTATCATGGAATCAGAGCAAGTTCCCCTGTGGGAACTGTGCTTCGGGCCCACCACCTAGAACTTTTTTTTTTTTCTGCCCTGGCGCCCGCCCTAGCGCCCGCCCTAGCGCCCGCCCTAGCGCCCGCCCTTTCGAGCCGCCCGTTAGCGCCGCCCGTTAGCGCCGCCCGTTAGCGCCGCCCGTGCGGCTGCCCGTTCGTGCCGCCCTTTGCGCAGCCAGTAGCGCCGCCCGTACGGCCGCCCGTAGCGCCGCCCGTGAGCCGCCGCCCGTAGCGCCGCCCGTGAGCCGCCGCCCGTCGCGCCACCCTTTAGCGCCGCCCGTGCGCCGCCGCCCGTGAGCGCCGCCCGTGACGCAGCCGCCCGTGAACCGCCGCCCGTGACGCCGCCGCCCGTGACGCCGCCGCCCGTCACGTCGCCCCCCCCCCCCCCCCCCCCCCCCCCCCCCCGTGACGCCGCCGCCCGTCCCGCCGCCCGCCCGTCACGCCGCCCGCCCGTGAGCCGGCGCTGCCCGCGAACCGCCCACCCGTGGGCCTTCAGCCCGCCAGTGAGCTACCGACGCCGCCCGTGAGTAGCCGACGCCGCCGACGCCGCCCGTGAGCCGCCGACGCCGCCGACGCCACCCGTGAGCCGCCGACGCCGCTGCCGCTGCCGTCGCCCGTGAGCCGCCGACGCCGCCCGCCCAGCCGCCCGTGAGCTCCCCGCGCGCCGTCCTAGCCGCCCGTGAGCCGCCACCGAGCCGCCCCAGCCGCCCGTGCCGCCGCCCGAGCCGCCTGAGCCGCCCAAGCCGCCCGGGCCGCCCGCGCCGCCCTAGCCACCCGAGCCGCCCGAGCCGCCCGAGCCGCCCGAGCCGCCCGCGCCGCCCGAGTCGCCCGAGCCGCCCGAGCCGCCCGAGCTGCCCGAACCGCCAGAGGAGCTGCACTCCTACTCCTGTCGGGCTACTGCTGCTCCTGGGCTGTGTACCTGCGCCGCTGACCTACCCGACTCTTCCTGCCCGGTGAGACTGTCAGCTGTGTCAGAATATTATCTTATTGTTCTAGCCTGTAGTGGGGTGCTCTATAGCGATTACAACCCTTCTAGGGTTTGCTATTTGTATCCTCATTCTTGCTAGTTCAATCCTCTTTCTTCCTTCTAATTTTGACAAGCTGCTGTCATGGCCACCCCCAATGTCCTAGCTTTTGACGCTGAGGGTAGAGCCATTGACTTTGCAGTCTGGATTGAGGACCTGCAGCTGTACTTACTGTGTGATGCGGTCGATGAGGTCTCTCTCTTTGACTTTGTCTCTGGCGCTGTCCCTGCCCCTCCTCCTGATGCTGATTCCGCCGTTCGCTCCAAGTGGGCGACCCGCGATGCTGCTGCACGTCTTGCTGTGCGTCGCCACCTCCCTTCCTCCGAGCGTGCCCACTTTAGTCAGTGCAAGACCGCTCAGGCCTTGTACGACGCTGTAGTTGCACGCTACTCCTCCCCTTCCTCCGCTACGCTGAGCCGCCTCATGCTACCTTTTCTCTTCCCTGACCTCGCTGCCTTTCCCACTGTCGCTGACCTCATTACCCACCTCCGCGCTAGTGACGCTCGCTACCGCGCTGCCCTTCCTGCTGAGTTCCGCGCCGCCAACCCTCCTCCCATGTACATCACTCTCTACTTTCTTGTCACCCGTCTCCCTGAGTCCCTTCGTGTCGTTAGGGACCAGTTTCTCTCTGTCTGTCCCACCACCCTCACTGTCGACCTCCTTGAGGAGTCCCTGCTAGCGGCTGAGAAGAGCATAGTCGCTGTAGGGGCCTCTCGGGGTGACCCTCGCACCCCCATCTTTGAGGGGTGTTCTCCTTCCCCCCTGCTGCCCTCTGTCGCCTCTGCCGCTGCGGCCGACCTCGCTGGTTTTGAGTCGGTCGGTGCGGCGTCTGCCCCCAGCGGTAGACGCCGCTCTGGCAAGGGCAAGGGGGGCAAGGGAGCGGGTGGAGCTAGAGGAGGCAGTGGCGGAGGAGGTGGGGGTGGCGGGGGGAGTGGGGGTGGCGGTGGAGGTGGTGGCGGGAGTGGAGGTACTGGTGGAGGCGGTGGAGGCGGAGGTGGCGGCGGAGGCGGTAGCGGAGGAGGCGGGGGCGAGGGTACCAGTGGGGGCGGTGGCGGTGGAGACGGGGGCGGTGGTGGAGGCGGGAGTGGCGGTGGCGGCGGGGGT